TACTAATTTTATAGATTATTACTAGTTTTATAGATTATTACCTAGTTTTATAGATTATTACTTAGTTTTATAGATTATTACTTATTTTGATAGATTATTACTTTGTTTTATAGATTATTACCTAGTTTTATAGATTATTACTTTGTTTTATAGGTTATTACCTAGTTTTATAGATTATTACTTTGTTTTATAGATTATTACCTAGTTTTATAGATTATTACTAGTTTTATAGATTATTACTTAGTTTTATAGATTATTACTAGTTTTATAGATTATTACTTTGTTTTATAAATTATTACTTTATCTTATAGATTATTACTTAGTTTATAGATTATTACTTTTTTTTTATAGATTATCATTTTGTTTTATAGATTATTATTTTGTTTTATAGATTATTACCTAGTTTTATAGATTATTACTTTGTTTTATAGATTATTACTAGTTTTACAGATTATTACTAGTTTTATAGATTATTACTTTTTTTATAGATTATTACTTTGTTTTACAGATTATTACTTTGTTTTATAAATCATTACTTTATATTATAGATTATTACTTAGTTTATAGATTATTATTTTTTTTATAGATTATTACTGGTTTTATAGATTATTACTTTGTTTTAAAGATTATTACCTAGTTTTATAGATTATTACTTAGTTTTTTAGATTATTACTAATTTTATAGATTATTACTAGTTTTATAGATTATTACCTAGTTTTATAGATTATTACTTAGTTTTATAGATTATTACTTATTTTGATAGATTATTACTTTGTTTTATAGATTATTACCTAGTTTTATAGATTATTACTTTGTTTTATAGGTTATTACCTAGTTTTATAGATTATTACTTTGTTTTATAGATTATTACCTAGTTTTATAGATTATTACTAGTTTTATAGATTATTACTTAGTTTTATAGATTATTACTAGTTTTATAGATTATTACTTTGTTTTACAGATTATTACTTTGTTTTACAGATTATTACTTTGTTTTATAAATCATTACTTTATTTTATAGATTATTACTTAGTTTATAGATTATTATTTTTTTTTATAGATTATTACTAATTTTATAGATTATTACTAGTTTTATAGATTATTACTTAGTTTTATAGATTATTAAATTGTTTTATGGATTATTACTTAGTTTTATGGATAATTACCTGACTTTATAGATTATTACTTTGTTTTATAGATTATTACTTTGTTTTACAAATTATTACTTTGTTTTATAGATTATTACTAGTTTTATAGATTATTACTTAGTTTTATAGATTATTACCTAGTTTTAAAGATTATTAAATTGTTTTATGGATTATTACTTAGTTTTATGGATAATTACCTGACTTTATAGATTATTACTTTGTTTAGATTATTACTTTGTCTTATAGATTATTACTTAGTTTTATAGATTATTACCTAGTTTTATAGATTATTACTTAGTTTTATAGATTATTACTTAGTTTTATATATTAATACCTGAAGATAGGAGCAGATAGGACAATGTGTAAGTTACAGGGCGGTTGAGTTGTAACTTACAGACTCCCAAAACTTGTCTGGGAGAAAAAGGTGTCTGAAGGTGATTCCTTTCACCTTTTCATTTGGTTATCTCTCGTTTGCTCTATGTGTAAAATACACTGACTAAATTTGGTCATATCCTCAAACAAAATCTGTTTGTGTTTATTCTGTTGAGAATAGTAGTTTGTAGATATTCTAAGACTCATATATTCTAAATTCCCTTCAATTTTCTAAATTTCAATTCTTGATTTAAAGTTCGCAATCTGCTGTATACATTAATATTAATTTCAATGACTCTGTATACAAATTTAATTAATAATACCTCAAACTAACTAGACGTTAGATTTAAAAATTTAATCTAATGTTGACTAGACCTATTGAAATGTGACAACAGGTGTTCTGAAAGAGAAAGAATTTTATGTTTCGTTTATGTCACCAGCTACAGAATAAATGACATTGAACCTCAAATTCAGTCAGATCCAAATTCCGATTTTGGTCCTTTTTAAAGAAAATAAGTTGAAAAAGTACCTCGAGGACACTTCTCCATCGACATAGACTAAAGATATATTTCACTAAATTCAGTTTAAAGCTGTAGTCTCTATTGAGTTCACAAACAAGTTTTGATGCATTTTTCTTAAGTCAAGGGCAATAACTCGAAAATTCTATAGATGGTCTCTTTGTATGCTGGCATTGACATTGTGTTTAGCAAAAGAGAGGTCAACTGTGTCATTTAACAGTACTAGTTTATCACTCATTATTTACTCTGACAGACTATCAAAATATGTTAAAAATTTTGAAATATTATTGGGTCACCTTGTCCTTTGCACCTGCTGTTCTCAGCATTTTGCTCAACATTTTAAATCATTATTTGAACTGAAAATATTTTACCCTTACCTTTCATGTCTAACCCAGTGCACTGTTCATATTTATGTTTTGAACTGTGCTGGGATGTGCACAAATATAATACATGTAGCTACATATAAATATCCATATTAACAACAAATATTCATAAAGCAGGATCTGTCAAGCTGTAAAAATGTCCTTTATCAAAAGCGGAAGAAAGTAAAGTTTTATTTGTTCTTCACTTTTAACCAATAAAACTGATTTCTAGAGCTACATATTTTTTCTTATGAACATGCTTCATTAACACAAGTTTTACAATATTTTCAATCTCAAAGTAGACTGAGACCTATTTCATGAAGTGGCTATCACCCATACAGGATTATCATGGTATACATTTTATCTTTCAAACAGTCAGAGGCTATTTAAGCAATAAACTGTTACCTTATGGAGGTTATGGTCGTATATCAGGACAAAAGTTGGCTGGAAAATTGAATAAATGCGCATTTTGTCCTGATATATGACCATAACCGCCATAGGGTAACAATTTATTGCATATATTTACGTTTTCAAGACATTCTAATTTTCAATGAATAACGACGTCATTGGTTAAAATTACTACGCCTAATGTTTTGGTGATGAGGCAATGGCGTTTATTGTGATATAAACGTCACACAAATTTGCATCAGTCCAATTGACAAAACAATAGCTAATGTAAATATTGTTTGGTATCTAGTATTGTGACTAAGGTAAAGACCACATTTAATCATCTTACACATTGACTTGATCATGAAAACTGATCACTCTAATAACCTAGCCAGTGTTTGAAGAACAATTCATAAATTGCTTATAGACCTATTTCACAAAAATGTTTTTTCTTTCAATCGACCCAATCTGGTCCCCGATGAAACTTTTCTTCCATTAGTCCAATTGTAGTCTTGAATTGCCTCTTCCCCTTAAGATAAAAAGTAGTGCCCGAAGGCTCCCAACCTTTCGCAAAAATGTTGCCCATCGACCCAAATAATGATCGAGAACTAAAAATAATGCTTAGTGAAATGGATGTATTAAGTACATCATACTATATTATCATATTAAAAATCATAAGTCTCACGTTACTTTGTTATGTGACTACAGACCACATTTAAATATTTTACACATTGACTTTGTTTTAAAGTTTCATTTTATTCAGCTCATAAACCATGATCATTAGTGGCAAGTGTAGTTATTAATTAAGTGTGTTTAATCAAATAAAAAAAAAGAAATCACTTACTTCCACATGTAACAACAGAATATAAGGGAGAGAATGAGAGTTAATGCCCCTATCCCTAGCAACGGTAGAGACACTGAGAATGGTATATTGTTGATCTTCATCAAACTTGTATATTAATCAACAGTAAAACTGAAAAATAGAAATAGAAAGATTTTTACTGAGGAACAGTGGCCAACTAAGCACATTTGAGCCTCAGACTAATAGGCTTCCTATGAGCCTCTTTGTCAATGTCAAAATGACTGCATTTTATACCTTGACTGCTATAGCCACCTTTCTTGTATTAGGAAATTTGTAAATGCAGTGGTTTGGTTGGATTGTACATTAGCGAATACATACAGCCAATCAGAGTCCTTGACAGAAAGTCTGTAAAAAGCCGTTAAGCTAGGGCTGGGCGATACTGGTTCAAGGTGATATCGTGATATTATCCATTAATATATGGTGATATGGGTATATATTGTCATGTTTCCTTCAGTATAGTTTTTACTGGTTTTTGATACAAAATGTTGTTGTTTTTCTATCTAAAAATTTCAAAGTAAGGAAAGACAATAAATATATCTTAAAAACATCTGAGTCTTGAATTTCATTCAAAAAACATATGTTTCAAACATTAAGTTATTTGTTGAAATTGTGTAGATGATCTTTTCTGGACAGTAATTTAACAATGAATCATAATAACTACTATACAGTCAAGTAACCTAATTTCGTGGAAACCTATTTTTCGTGGATTTCTGGAAAGGATTAATAATTTACATGTGCGACATCGCGTGACTTCCGTATTTGCTTGTTTTGATAAACGTGGGTTTTCTGTACAATATCAGCAAGTAGAATGAATCCAGTAGTTTTAAGCAAGGTGAAATTATTAATGTATACTTTGACAAATACAAAATGGCGGATTTCAGTTATTACCAAACGTCACCATTTTTCATCGGCTGAATTTCCTTATAATCCCAAGTGGTAATCAGAATTCCAAGTGTCGTCTGCTAGAATATAGTCCAACGAATGAAGTCACATGATCAACTAGCGGATTCCGTGTCAGCAGAAAATTTCTATGGAACACAAAGTGGACCATATTCTTATGTTGTTTCAGTCACTTTTCACAATAAATCACGCTAAGTATCTTATTTTGTCAGTCACTATTTTATTTTAAAATCCTGGTTCTTTGAAGGAATTGTCACTAAATACATAAGAGAAGTTAATTATACCACCCGGTATCCATACAACATGTTTTTCTCGACTTATTTATAGATCAAACATTGTACACGAAAATAGGTGACGCATTCTGCCGCCGTTCCCGAGTTGGTTGCTCATAAAATATGGGTCAAAGTGAAGAATTCATAAAGAAAATCGAAATAAACCAATTTTAATTATTTTGTAGAATATCTGAGAAAACATCCAAGACATAAAAATTTTTTTTCATTTTTTTTAACTTTGACGAAATTCGGTGTTGAATCCACGAAAATAGGTTACACCACTGTATATCACAATATTTCGGTATTTTTTAATCAGGTGATATTACTAATGATATAAATTCCTATACCGGTATGTATCATGATACTGGTATATCGACTAGACCTTCGTTAACTATTTTTATAATATCAGGAGCCACAGAAATCAGATAGAAAATTACAATGATCCAATGGATGGCAATAATGGTGCCAATACACATAAAAAAAGCTAAAAGCCCATTTACAACTCCAATAATTGTATTAATTCAATGTAAATTACAACACTAGTCCATCCTACTGAATTAACATATCATAATTACATAATTTAACTATATACTCATGTTATGTAAGTAAGCAGTCAGTATCATTAATGTTTCAACGTTTATTCACAATTTTTCACAAAAACTAAATTTAGTTTGATTTCAAACAAAGAAGATTAAAATATCAATTCATAGACTAAAATACATTGATGTGTTTCACTTGAATTCATTGGGACAAAGACTTTTTTTAAAAAAATGAAAACAATGTACCCGTAGATAATTGAATTTGTCAAAGGGATGCTGTCAACAAAAAAAAAAAACAGACTAGAAAATAAGTTAGGTGGTTCAACAGTTATCGTTTTAAATTTTCATTGAGGATTGTTCAGAATATAGACAAGATATTTATTTGTCTTATAAATGAACTTTAAAAAATGTTTTTTTCCAATGTTTGTAAAAAAGGATTCAATTAACCTTGCGCTGTCTTATTTGTGTTGCTTTGTATTTACACGTCATTGTTAGCCTAGCAACGTAGGGGTGGTGCTTAAAGCTAATTGGCAGGAGTTGTGTTGCTGTTTTTTCCCACTTTTCTGACAATAATGATAGGTTTAACTATATTATGGCAATAATTTTATCTTCAGTGATAGATTCCTGAACCCTACTGAATGTAAATATAAGAATTGCATGTAGATTTTTTTGCATTCATTGGTTGATGAACACAAACAAATTTAGAACTTTAATTTACTTAGTAGTTAGGCAAAGATTACAAAAATTTTAATTGTCTGATAACCTTCAGGCTTATAAAGGGCCAGAAAACCTATTTTGAAACACACGAGAAAACAGATCACTGGACTTACCAAACAAACTTGAAGCCAGGTTACATAATGACAATTATTTTTTTTTATTAACTAAGTCTAAATTTTTAGATAAGCAAAGCATGACAAACCTTGTGGCTAACATTTTGTCAGTTTGCCCTTCACATGGATTTTCTAAGTACGGTAAAAAATTCATCACATTTTACAATCTTTCCCTATAAAGATGCTTTGTTGTTTAATGTGACATGTAGATGACTCAATAGATTAAAATTCATTTTATTAGGCCTAAATCTAGACTATTTTCAAATCCATTCTCCACATATTAGACTGTAGATTCCTTTTTTCTTATGCCATCCCTTGTCATTGTCTATATGTTATATTATAAACTTGAAAAACAGCAGATATCATTTTCCTTTGTTGATTGAATTTCAAATTCAATTGAATGTTAATCACCTGGAAGGCAGCTGACACACATGACCTGTTTTTGTCAACTGTCAAACAGTAACTCAAAACCAAAACAAAGCCACATTTTTGTCAAACTTACTTACCAAAATAGTAGAGACATGGCCTGTGCTTTCGTTGATTTTGCATCATTAAAGAGACAACCTTCCTACATCTTGCTCGGTTGACATGAAAATCAACAAAATCTTGATAATTTAAATGATAAAAATAGATTGACAAATATTTTATCAACAAGTTTATCGATGTAGGTCATAGGTCAGCTGATCACATGACCTATTTACCAGAATTTGGTTTGTAGTCGATATTACGACATTCATGTCATTCAAAACATCATAAAATGTTAAATTATTAAAAGAGTCAAAGTTTCATTTACAGAAAAGTTTACAAAAATGATAACTTTAATAAAGATTTATTGCCCATTTAGCAAAACCATTATAAATAGGGCAAGTCAAAGAATTTTTTATTACGACAAACAAAAGACTTTTTTATGGCAAATAAAACGTATCCAAAGTCAAGGACGTTTCCATCTTTACTTAGATTGCAAAATTTCAACATACTGACGCAATGGTTTCGAAATATTGATACCGATTTAGCTCTTACTCAACTAAAATGGTCAAGCTGATTTGTCGAGTCAAAGATTCGCTTTTTACCCCGAAGTTTCTAAAGAAGAACAGACGACATGTTGCCAAGTGGAAGAAAAGTGAAAAAGAGTCCACGAAAAGGTTCAAAAGAGGAAAATATGGAAGACGGATTTCAGCTGGACTATTTACCTGATGACATCCTATATCATATCCTGTCATTCCTTGATGTCAAATCTTTATGTACCATTTGCAGAGTCAGCAAATTGTTAAAGTATTTTGCAACCAAGGATTGTGTTTGGATGCCATTATTGAAAAATCAGAGGGTTCAGATGAGATATAAGACACCTGTTCACTATGACACCACAGAAAGGTACATAACTGAATAAGCCAATTCGGAACTATACATGCACATTCGAACACAACGTCGATTTTACGTGGCAGTCTATAGTCAGCAATGGAAAAAGATATAAGCTTAATAGGGGTAACTACTTAGACAGTTATCGATTTATCAGAGGCAGAAGTAGGGAATTACTGTGTTGCGCATGGGCATGAATAGTACCAATTTGGCTTATTAAGCTGACAAGGACCTGAAATTGACAGTGACATTTCTTCCTAATCCATATATGGCTTATATTGCTTCCACTGATGTGGACCCAGGCAGGGTATGCTTACTCTTCTAGACACCTGACCCACTTTTCATTAAGAAATACTTACTGACTTATGATTGATATACTTCCTCAAGTGAAACGTTGTTTTGGATTTCGTTTTGTGGTTCAAATCATTAGTACCATACTTGGTTTATTTATTCTGTGAATACTTTATTTTAACCATTTTTCTAAAGGATTTTTCATTGACCAGTGTATATTTCTGTCTGTCCATGATGGTAACAGAATCGCACATCATTACAGAATGAATTGAAATATCAACTCCAAAATACCACTGAGCAGCATGTTGATTGTCTTAAAGGGACAGGTTTGCCATCTGTCAATTGTATCTTAGTCTCAGAAACAAGCATTTTTTAGCCAAGCTTACCAGTACTGGTAATGGTGTTGACATCTTACCAAAAACATTTGAGCCTTCAAATCTATGTGTGTCCAGAATTATTGACGTTATAAAGTTAAAAAGACAACTCGTCTTCTCTTGAAACTCAACCATATATGAAAAAGACATATATAGGAAGGGAAATCCCTAGTTTGAAGAGACTTCTGAAGACTATTTACATATATTCAAGACCAATATCAACCCCCAAAAATGGAGAATCTGTCCCTTTAACTCCACCCACATGGATTATAGAGTTGACTCCCACTGTTTTTTTTCTTTCATTTACATTTTCTAGTTATCAAATGGTTATTTGTTACCTTATGTCCTGTAACCAATATCTAGGCTGCTTATTTCGTCTCAAAATCTCCCAAAAAAATAACCTTTGTTTATTTTTTCAGAATTTCAGTGAACCTGAGCACTAAGCAAAGATATAAAGCTAGCATCAAATGGGAAAAGGGGGATTTTTATGAACCCTGTTTGGTTTCATTTCAAACCAAGTGAGAACATTTTTAATATTTTTTTAATGATTTCTTGTCACGGGTCATTTTGTGTCTTGACAATTATGGGATAGACCCAAATATGTGAATTAGCATTAGAATTCAATGTTATTGGCTAGATACTGGTATACTATGTAGGGTCCTTATTTTGGTCAGTGCATGAAATCTGTGAAATCATCTTTACATTATTCCAGTTGACTCAGCTGATAGTCTGGGAAAGGTCAATGCCAAGAGGTTTGACCAAGAACAAACTGGTAGATAGGTTCTCTTATCCTTGTCAAAATTGTTATTTCTAACTTTGTTGGCATTTTTTTCAGGGAAAATAATTTCCATTTGGAATTTCCAGATTTCCAATATCATGACTTATTCATTTATTGAGCATATTCTTCCATTGTAGATTGATGCCATGGTTACAGAGAGACGACCAATCAAATATCTGGTTATCTGTGAAAAATAAGATACGATGTTATCATCTGGATAAACATGGAAATCCCCGGGAATCCAAGGGAAGACAACTGAGTGGGTTTAGAGATGATGTCAGTAAATTTGTTATTACAGATGGGCTTTTAGTCGGTGGATGCAGGTGGGTTTGGTTTTAGCGATAATTACTTTACGAACAGTCATTACATTGCTATGAATGCTAGGGGCCTTTTTGCTGAAAACTGAACTTAATTGTCAACAATTTTAGTGTCACCTTAGCTGATTCTTTAAGCTTTCAGGAGAGTATCTTCAATAACACCAAACACACACACACAGTTCTTATTAGGTAAAGGTAACTTTTTTAAAGTCAACAGATTACCAGGTTATTAAACTGTTCAGGTAACTTGTTCCATAATCGAGGTGCTACTATACTGAATGATCTCCAAAATGAAAAGTCATGTTATTTTCAGAGATGGAAGTTTAGGCTGTTGGAACAGCGACACCAGTGATTTGTTATTTAAATATTCCAATCTTCATACCAGTGATACTCATTGTATAGATTATTGTAATAATATTGTAGTATCTGGATCTCGAGATAAAACAGTTAAGGTAGGTCATAGGCATTGGCTGTGCTAGGCATTATTAAACTATGTATTTCACATGGATCAGAATTACCCATTTTGGACCATTTTTACTCAAATCAATGGCCCTATCTATCATTTAACTGATGACAATGATAGAGTCAGAATTTGGTCCATGTTACCAAGACTTAATGATCCTGTTTTGGTAACATTTAGATGAAAACATTTTGAATATAGCAGTGATAAGAATGTGCATGGCAAGTTATTATAGCAACAAAGTCCTTAATTTACACTGATAATTTGGATAGAAATGGGAGAGTTATTTTTGAAGGAATTGTGCGAAAAACTGAGTGTACTAATTGTTAATTAAGCAGTTTGACTTAGTTTTGGCTTTGTAATGGCTTAATGTTATTAGTTGAAACTTTTAAAATACGTAGGAGACATATTTTATTTGAATCTGTACAGTAGTTTTCTAACATCTTCCAAAAAGCCTCAAAAAATTGGTTTATGTAAACTTCTTAAATAGTTTTGGTGTTATAAACTTAACAGCTGCTTTTTTTAGTTGAAACTTTCAGATACATTAAGAGACATGTTTCTCTAGATTATGGTGTATAGTTTTGAGCAAAAGACGTGATTTTGTCCATACGCCAGATCCAATTTCTGCTGCCAGCTAACTTGATATTGTGTTTTCAGGTTGTATCTATGTATAATGAATGTGAAGAGAATCTACTACGTAAAACTATTTATATGGGAGATAGAGTTTGGTCTCTAAAAATATCACCATGTGGAGAGTAAGAGTTCTTTTTCACTATTTTATAGGACCTTTAATTCTTGATGATCTGATATTGAACTTGAATATTAGGAATTATTAAGGATCTATTATAGTTACAATCAACTAATATTTAGACTTTATCATATCAATTGATGGCCTTAATGAGATTGTAAAGAGGTTTAAATTTTTTTCACGAAAGGTTTTTATGTGATTAAGCATATTATGCAATTAGTGACGTCATCAAACACTTAGTTTAAGTGGAATTGTAGGAATGACAGACGTCTGATTGAAAATGGGAATGATGCACATTGATGCTATCAGTGTCTACGATGCATATTAAAATTTGTAGAAAACCTCTTTACAATTATCTACAGTTCCAATACGTTCTGTGACAAATGTGGGCACATATAAAGAGGGCACATGCACTCTAAAACACCTAATCCGCTCTGGAACTGGGTTTATCAGCTCATAATACCTTCTCTTATTCACACTTAGTTTTTGAGACACTGAAGGTGAGGTTCATAACACAAATAAGGTATCTTTAAGATGGCAACGTGATATGAATGAATAGCCTATTTTACGTCATTTGACAATCGCTCAACAGCAAGAAAATTGACTTAAAACTGTCATTTCCCAGAAATTTACAAATCTTGAAATAGCATAATCAATTCCAAATTTAATGGTGTAAAATATGATTAGTTTCGAGTTAGGATTGGAGAAAGAGGCTTTAAAGACGTCATGCTGTGACATAACGTTACCTTTTCAAGGTTTGCCTATGAGCCTTGTTATGGATTCAATATGGTTGACACGTGAATAAGGTCTATACACATGATGGTGACACATAAGACACATGCTGTATAGTGACAAGATGGCTTATTTATAAGATATATATACTGTTTCTCAGTTAGGTCATAAACTATTTGACTCGAATGAATACTGTTTTTTCAGAAGCCTAGCAACAGGAACTGCTGGTAACCGTGGACTACCAGCTTTAACTACCTGGGATTTATCCACGTAAGTTGTTTGGTAGATTCTTTATGGACATTTTTTTTATAAGGTTTGCAATGACTAAGGGCTGACAGTGGCTCGATAGTTATATGCTGGCTTGTAACTTGAAGATCTAGAGGTCTAGGGTTTGACCTTGCATAGCTCAAAGTAATACCTTCAGGTTTTTCAACTCAGTTTACCCCCGATAGTGATGCATGTTGGAAAAGACATGTAAAACACATCTAGTTCTTTGAATGGAACAAAAGACTAAGGTTCCATGTGATATTGGTTGTGTCCAAAATGCTAATAGTTCTGTCCTGAAAAAAAATTGCATTGCACATAGCATGGTATTGCCCTTCCACATTAATCCAATTAAGGTGCAGGACACAAAAAATTTGTTTATTGAATATTTGAAGAAAGAAAATTGAAATTTTTAAAAATTTTAGAGGGGAGATGTTATCAACTTTAGACCCAGACCACCAGAAAGGAGCTGGTATACTCAATATGAAATATGAAGATAGAAACACTCTATTGACCTGTGGTTATGATACAAGATTACGCATGTGGGATTTACGCACTGATATGTGGTATGTAATCTTTTGGTCTAACCTGATAAACACTGTGTTACAAAATGTCAGTGGAGAGGGTAAAAATTTGATTGGTTGAAGCAGATGTCATCGAGTTGGGTCAAAAGGTTAATTTGTTGAAAGTTCAAGAGGGGCTGTTGTTAGGCCCTAACTAAAATGGCTATATTAAAAAATAAGCTAATATTTGGACGGCCGCCCAGATATCAGTTTTGCACCCATTGATGGGTATATTGCCAGATTTAAAGATGTCTGCTGAAAATTGCAATGGTCTGTATCAGGCCTGTGCAACCTTTCCGCAACGGCGGGCCACATTTAGGGGATGCGAGTAGGCTGTGGACCACGTAACCAACCATCAATGAATCATGGAATGTGATTTCAATGTGCATTGCAAATCTGCGGGCCACACCGACAGTGACAAGAGCAAACGCACTTTCAAATTTTATATGAGCCATAGGTTGCACAGGCCTGGTCTAAATGGATACTATCAGTGTACACAATACACATGAAAATAGCCGAACCTCTTTACGATCACTTTAATGTGTCTTATCAATTTATACGCAACACATTTATGGATGAAAATATAAGAAAGAAAGATTTTGGCTTAAAATGGTCCTTAGACATTCAGGATGGCTATTTGACTCATTTCATGTCTACCCAGTCTACCTCAATAATACTTGACACTTTCTTCTGATATAATGTTTTAATTTGCATTCAAATTTCTTTCAGTGTTGCTTCTTGGGTGGAGCCATTTGATTCTACTGTATTTAGTTTTGAAACAGATAATAATGTTTCTATGGTAACTGGTACTGCCTTATATGGTATGTGCAGACTGTGGGATAAACGTACTACTAAACCAATTCAGGTTTGTTTTTTTTTGATTGACCAAGACTAATCTCATGCTGCAAACATAGGATGTTTAGGATACTCAAGCCTCATTAGGGCAACTAGTTTTGGACTGGTCGTAGGATCTGGGAAATGAAAAATGAAAGTAGCTCTTCAGCTTATTTACTTTAGAAACCCTGCTTTATTGTGACATAACAATTTTAGACAAAAACTCTAATATTCACTCAATATTTCTCTAAGATACTCTACGCAACTGGATTGTCTTTAAGGCAACTATTTCTGAAAGGTTACAAATATTTGTATGTGATTCTTGTTTTTTTTAATTTCAGAAATATTATATTGATCACAGTAGAAGTCCTGTATATTCTTTAACCTTTGACCCTGGTAGACTTTACGCAGCCTTAGACCTAGGTCTATATAAACTAGACTTTACTTGAATCCTGTACAATTCTTGTGATAAAATTCTCCTCTATGGTAGAATGCATGCAAACTTCTTAAAAACAGGAAGAGTGATCAATCTTTTATAACTCTGTTTTCACAAATATATGAGTTTTAGTTATGTTGTGAGGTCAGTAGAGGCAGTGATCCTGGTTTTATTTGGCTATATTTTGTATCTTTATTTCCAACTGATATTCAAAATGTACTCAGTAAATTGTTGCTCACTTTCACAGTAAGCACAGATATTGATTCGCTTATAGATGTTTAAGTAAATATGCAAATTTAGTGTAAGCTATTGTTATAAGGTACCCAATACTGAGAGAATTACAAATGCCAAGAGGTTAGAGCCAGAACCAGCTTGTAGAAAGGATCTAGATCCTGGAAACCTTTGTTTTTATTCTTGTAAGATATGGTAGTTTCTTTCTTTTATTTTGGAATTATATGTGATTAGCTTTTAGAGAGGTTAAGCAATGTCATAAGTCGATGCTTGTAGACCATATAGCTGCCATTTTCATGTGATTGGGTTTGTCATAAGCATATTAGCAATGGACTTCATAACTGGATTTTGCTGAAACATCTTCAAGTTCAAAATCTTAGTTCATAATCATTATTGAATTTATTCAAAGGGTTGTAAAGAGGTTTCCAAAAAAAAAAATTTATGTGATGAAATATTTTTCACTATTTTTAACATCATTATTAATGATCTATAGTTACCATGAGCTAATATTTAGACTTTATCATATCAATTAATGGCCTTAATGGGATTGTAAAGAGGTTTTACTTAAAATTTTTTACACGAAAGGTTTTTATGTGATTAAGCATATTATGCAGTTAGTGACGTCAAACACCTAATTTTAGTGGAATTACATGAATGACAGATGTCTGATAGAAAATGGAATGATGCAAATTGATGCTATCAGTGTCCACGATGCATATTAAAATTTGTAGAAAATCTCTTCACAATCCCCTATAGTTCCTATACGTTCTGTGACAAATGTGGCTATAAAGAGGGCACATGCACTCTAAAACACCTAATCCACTCTGGAACTGGGTTTATCAGCTGATAATCCCTTCCCAAGAATTTACAAATGGATTATATTGTTTAATTGTGATAATATAATGAAATATAAGATGAAAATTCAAGCTTTCTAATTTATTGTTTTAATTTTTAAGAATGACTGCTAATTAGATAATTAACGAGTTAGATTATTAAAATTGTTACTAATTTATATTCAGTGTTATGACCATAATTCGGGGTTTGTATAGCAGAGCAAAGATATTTGTGCCAATAGGATTCAAGGTATAAACAGAAGCAGTCCACTTATGATGGGAGCACACAAACTGTCTTGGTCGCAAATTATAGTCTTGTCAAGAGTTACGCCAACCGTCTGCAGGCACACTAGGTGACACTATGTCGCTAATCATGTGCAAATCATTCAATTGAATGGAATATGATTCTGATTGGACGATGACGCTCTGTCTTGCGGACGATAAAACAATCAGCGACAGATATCAAACTGGTTTGATACTATAAATCCTGTCCGCAACGCAATAATCTTGCTGTGGAAGCACAGGCACACTCTAGAATCGTGACCAAGAGAGAGTTTAAAGTAGCTATGAGATAAGTCTGACTAAAATGTAATTACTTGTGTCTGTAAGCGTAACTCAAACCTAGATTCTATGTGTTCATACGTTTGGTCTGCAAAACTGTCAGTGGGAAAATGGGTAATGGTTTGCGACTACGCAGAGTTGCAGCATTAATCTCAGCCTCAGAAGTTGTCGCCCCATTTTTCAGTCTGCCCCATTAAGTTCCTCTAATCTCAGGGGACTGGCGCGGCCATTGCATATGGTGCTGTATTGGTTCAAAAGGTAGGAACTTGGTAGTCCAGGAATATACATTGGTGAAGAAAACTAAACACAAGTTAACTTATTTCTCTAATAACATACAAAAAACATAGAATATATCGAATAATATAACAAATTTCGTGATTTACTTTCATTTCAAAAATCCATACTTAACACTCTTCCTTATTCAAGTTCATAATTCTAACTCGACATATAATAAATATTTCCCTTTTTCTTATCACATATCTTAACAAAATTCAATTATAAGCTTATGAAAAACTAAAATCTACTCAGCACTTTCAAAATTTCAAATTTTGTCACTTTAATTATGACCCAAAACATAACCATTATATATGTACCTATGGTTAATGAACAAGCAATAGTTCAGACTCTTCTCTATCAAAAAAGCATTTTTTTTAATAGAATTTTCTATCATAATTAGTACTGGCTTAAAGGGACAGATGCTCCATTTTTTGACCAATCATACTTTAGTCTCAGAAACTGGAATTTTTTAGAGTGAGCTAATCAGTAAAAATGTTACAGCTCACATTCAAAATTTAAGCCTTCAAATCCATGTGTGTCCAGAATTGTCTACGTTCTAATGTTAAAATGATGACTCGTCAGTTTAAGATACTCTGTGATAAATAGAAAAGGCATATATTGGTATAGTGAATAAAATTGCCAATTTGAAGTATTTTTACATTTGTAGTACCTCTATTACATATATTCAAGACTAAAATCAACCCCCCAAAATGGCACATCTGTCCCTTTAAATAAACCATGTTCATAAGTTAGCATCTTAACATTAACAATTATATTTTCATAAACTGAAACTGCAGATCACAGCAAACTCATTGATCAGAATTATTTTGGATTTTTTCCTTAAGAGGGATTGTAAAATGATTTTCTCTTTTTAATGTGTACACTGATCAATTCGCACTATTTACAGTCAGACGTCTGCAATTCCACTAAAAAAGAGTTGATGACGTCACTTATTTCAAAATATGCTTGTATCACATTAGTCCACGTCCTCAAACACCAAGTTTAAGTGAGTTGCAAGACCCAGAGATGTCTGACTGAAAATTTGAATAGTGCAAATTGATGCTATCAGTTTTCCAGATACACATAAAAATTTAAGAAAAAATCCCTTTTATATCTGAGATATGATTCTTGTGGCTAACATACTATAGTTGTTTGTTGGCAATAGTTAATCATTAATTCATGGTTATCAAGTTTATTATGCAGCTTCAGTTTTCTACAAACAATATCACTTATTCCTTTGAAGAGATTGTAAAGAGGAAAGAAAAAAAGAAACAACTATATTTTACAAGGATAACAACTTAGGTTCACAGTTAAGGATCCTTTCTACAAGCTGCTCCTTGATCAAAGTTTTGGCATTGATCTTTCCCTGGATTATCCATACCCATTTACAGCTGGGTTGACTGGGTTTCTCTAGCCTTACTACAAGTATTGGGTACCAGTAAGCTTACACTTTCAATTTGACTGTAGGTCCTGTATTTGACATCAATATAGCAAAAACTACAAAGGGCATTTGTGATAGTGATGTTATAGTTCGAACAGGAAATTTGTTTTGTAAGCTACAAGAGTACCCATTACACATACAAAGACTAGAAAATTCTTAAAAAAAACTTAAAGAATGTGAATTTTAAATAAGGACTATGTGCTAATAAACTAGAAAAGCTTGGTATCAACATAGCAATGTCTGAAGCAGTGTAGTAAAATGTTGTTTGTGTATTCATGTTCTCATGTTCATACACTATGGATTTTATCAAATATAGATCATGTTCTTGGAGAGAGAGGAGGCAAATCTAAAATGGGTCCAAAATATGGCAGTGAATCACACCAAAAGTCCAAAGGCTGATGAGTTTGTGTTAACCATCGAATATCACCAACACCGTTTGACAGATCTTCATAATAATGACACTCGCGCAGGCCAGTACGTGAGTGATCATAAGGTGGAGCTAAAATGTCTAAAAAAGCACTTGTATTTCCCACAGGCTTCAGTTCATGTATATTTCCTGTTTGGGGATTTAAAAAACAGCATTCATCACTAGTTGTAAATGATCTATCAGAGTTTAACTGAACTTTTTTAGTCTGTGGTATTTGCCACGGTCGTAATTTTTCTTTGATCTCTCTTGGAATTTCGTCTGCTTCCGTTTCTATTGATTTGACAGGATTAAAGCTTGTGACGTTCATTTCACCATGGATGACTTTACAAAATCCAAACATTCCTGGATGATCGTGTAAAGGCAGGCGACCACCCGGTTTCACCACAAAAATTCCCATCGTAAAAATGTCGTCTTCCCAAAGTTTGACGTAAGTGACAGGTGCGACTTCTTCTTGTCCGTACGTCTCTGAATGTTTCAGTTGCTCAATATCAAAACCGACATCTTTGGCAGTGATATTGTTTATCATCAACCGAAGCTGTTTTAGCTTCTCGGGGAAGTTCTGATCACTGTTAATCTTTGAAAAAATATTTCTTGAGAATTTTGCTAACTTTTGTATGGGCGCAGACATGTTGGATTTTGACTCTCTAACCAAAAATTCAAAAATTACTTTAATTTTATAAATCTGATATCAATATGGTTTTTAATCAAAATACTTCAATTGAATTTTCGACTCTTTGTTTGATAATTGAGAACTGAATGCATCAATTCTCTAGAAAATGCTGACAATATTGAAATTCTGTTTAAGGAACAATGGCTTAGAGACTAAATGAATTGAAGTGGGCGTGGTTTGTTTTGATCAACATTCAAGCTGAAAATGAATGAATGAAAGAAGTTTGGCGAGTTCTACCTTGGACGAAGCTTCTGATGAATTAGAATTGATCAGGGACTGAAAATTGAAAATGAGCTGGTAAAGTTGTCCTATGGGGATTACATATTTTGTTTTCATGGTTTCAGGAAGTGGAGATTGAAAGTGAAAGAAAGAAAGGAGAAGGGTCAATCCATTGCCATTGGCATTACTGACACTGGATAGGGCTTGCATCCATCCCCCAACCCCCCACCCCCCATGAGTAATGAATTCATTACCCCATTGCTTTGATATCAATGCATTGACAAAAGTTTCAATGACAGCGCCAGTTGGGGTAATGTGAGCTACTTTAAATGTACTACCCGAAGAGCAGATTCACCATCAGCTTGACCAGTCTTACCTTAGTCTCAGAGATAATCAGTTATAGTGTTCAAATCCAGGTGCGGCAAGAATTATCTGTTTGAAAGTTAAAAAAAATGACTTGTCATTTCTAATTTCCTAGTTTCCTACTTTTGAGGGAATAATGCAATTTCTCTACATTTTAATCTACATATATTGAAGACCCAAATCAACCCTCCTGAAATGGCAAACCTGTCACTTTATGGTTGATTTTGGCAGTTGACTGAAATTGATTAAATCATGTCTATTTGTGCTGTCAAAACTGATTTCTAAAGGATTCTTTTTAAAATTACAGGAATCCATTCAGTCGAGCTGCTCCAAGAAAATCTGTTATTTCAAGAACAGTAAGTTTTCTTCATGGCTCATGTATTGATGTACCCGTGCATATCTTATCTTAAAAGATGTTTTGTTTCTAACTTCCTTAAGTGGCAATTAGTAATTGGGTAATGAATAACTGGACACAAGTTTTTGGGTAACAATTACTTTAATAAATAACATGCAACGTTTTGATGTCATAGCTTGATAAATGATAACTGATCATCATTGCTTGATAAATGATAACTGATCATCATTGCTTGATAAAGACGAAAATACCTTCATGGAAATGTCCCAAGTTATTTATTACAGTAATTGTCATCCATAAAATTGTATCCAGTTTTATATGTTCGTTTCGTTTCTGTTTTTTTTTTTTTTTCATTTGGTAACCCTTCTTGAAGTCTAATAAATTCAGAGCAAAATCAGAGCCTTTAAAAAAAACTTCAAATTCTTATTTTTACATCAGTCATTGAAGCTCAAAAGCTGAATGACCGACCCTGTTGTCAAATTATATGGAGAATCCATTGTAAAAATAAACACTGAATCTAATTCACATTGGGCTCCGACATACAATCAGTTCCGAATTTTGATTAATTAGTTGATTTTTGATTCTCAATTATGATTAATTTTTCAGCAAGAAAGAGAATTTGAAAAAGATGTGAAGAAAATAGAAGAGTAAGCCTAAGTTGTTATTTTTCACAGTATTTGGCCAGTGTGAAACTATATTTCATCTGAGTTGGTCCAATGGGGTGCTATGAAGATGCTTTTAAGCTAGTAGAAATTGAAAGGGAAGTTGAGAAAATCCAGTTGCTTAAAGGTGTAATGTTTTCCAGAAGAATGAAAATTCTTTAAATAGATTGTAATGAGGTAACCACGTCTGTTTTAGAGGAATTGCAGGAACCGAAGGCGTCTGACTGAAAATTGGAATGGTGCAAATTGATGCTATCAGTGTCCCATACACAAACAAAATTTAGAAAACCTCTTTACAATCTATTTAATAGCAAACCCTACTACATCAATGATAATCGGGGAACTCCAATGTTCAAGACAAAAAATTTGTGGTCTTTGACATAAATTTCTGTATCATTTTTCTTCAATAACATTCTATTGAATATTTTCAGACTTGATGAGTCATCTAGAAAACTTTATAAAGATGTTAAAAGATGGATAGAAGCCAATAATGGTAATGTCTGCCATTTATTTAATAATCCCCTCAAAAATACCTAAATTACAAGTTGTTTTTATACGTCCACATGGAAATGTAGACATATATTGCCGTCACCCCTGTCCGTCGGGTGAACAAAATGGAGACTTCAGTTTTCAACTGATTTTAATGAAACTTGCTGTGATAATGTATATTAATGAGATCTTGGTCAAGTTTGAATTTGACGATTTTTTGATGAACGGTTTTTGAGTTATTGCCCTTGACTGAGGAAAAACGCATCAAAATTTGTTTGTGAACACAATAGAGGCTACAATTTTCAACTGATTTTAATGAAATTTGGTGTGATCATTTATATTGATGAAATCTTGGACAAGTTTGAACTTAATTCTTATTTGAGTTATAGCTCTTGACTCAGATAAAATGCTTTAAAATTTGTTCATCAGCACAATAGAGACTACAGATTTCATGAAAAATTTTGTGGAATTTCTCAGCATAAATAACTGGCAGTAGATATATATATTATTCTCTAATATGAGAAAATTCATACTTTAGTCATTTTTGACAGCAGCCAGTGGGCGTATGTTACGTTGTCTGGCAAGCTATCTTTAATCAAGCCTAACAACTGACAAAATCTGAGGGCAATAACTGGATTTCAGAATTGTTGTTATAGTGGTACTTAAATTTTTATTTTTCTTGTTTGTCAAACACCATTTCAATATATAATAGACTTTCATATCTTGTTAGCTTTCACAGGATGTTGAAAAATGTCTGCTTGCCAAAAAGTATATCAATAGCCCTGTCAAGAACTGTTGACAATGACACTTGGGAGAATTAGAACTCTAGATAGATATAACAGTTAACTAACTTTATGAAGTGACGACTGAAAAATTGCAGGTGGTAATATTCTACTGTGTAACAAAGTTTTGATCTTGAAGTTGAGATCACCTTGAAGAAAAACAATTGTGTCTTAGAATAATTTTGCTGTTCTCTTCTTCAGCCGTAGCTAAAAGTGAAAGAAAAATATCCCAAGATTTATTAAACAGTGTGCTGTGTCAGCAGGATGAAGAGTTACGGGCCCTTGTTGAAGATTGGGATAAATCGGTGGCTAGAATCGAGACACATACTCATGAAATGGTAGGTAACTTTGTATTTCTCACATCTAAGGTTTATCATTTGCCTTATTTTTCAAAAATGTTAGGATACAGTGGATTAACTTCCATAGGGACTGGTTATACAAAATTAAAAATAAATGCAATGATTTTTTGTCAAAAGATCTTAGACAGAAATTTTTATTTTGTTTTCCAGAATAATTCAGCTCAGAAGACATTTGTTGATCCAATGAAAAAGTGGGTTTTATTTCCTCTTTTCTTTCTTGGTTTAAAAGTATTTCATTCACATGATATGAAAAGGATTTGGGAACAGAAATTTACTTTATACCCATACACACAACATTTAGTTTACAATCCATATACAGTATATATATAGTAACACGTGGCACATGTTAGAAAATGTCAAAACTCTGAGTACCCCAACACTATCGCTAATCCGACATTTTTTTGCGGTCCCAGTGTATCTCGGATTACACAGAGTATAGGAAAATGGCTTCCTATTGGCTGAATTGGATGCTTTCAGGTCCTTTTTTACAAAAAACTAAGAATTTGTCAATGAATTTTACATTTAGAACTACCATGATTAATAGTATATTTCTCAATGTAAATTTCCATTCTTTATACCACAAATTATTATTGAAATATTTTTAAGAGACCAGGCCACGTATTTTCGAAACGATCTTAGTTATAGGATGTCCTAGGTTCTTATCTACCAACATTGATTCTAGGACATCCTAGTGCTAAGATCGTTTCGAGAAAACATGGCCAGGGCCTTATTCTCCAAAAATTAAATTAAATAAAGTCCAGATTTTAAGAAATACAGTTATCTGATTGGATAACAAAACGTAATTTAAAATGTTAGTGATTGACTAATCAGATGACCGGAACACTAAAATCATCTTAAGTTAAATTTTCAAGAATAAGGTCCCAGTTTTCAGATATACTTGTCTTGACTTTCTAGCGTATCAACTTTTAGTAAGCTTACCTCAAATTTCAATGGAAGTCACATGACCTAGTGAATAGTGTTATGTCAGCTTCCATGTGAATAGAAAGGTCTCTCTTGTATAAAGGCTAATAATTTTAATTATCATTTAACCCCTAATAGCAGAAAACTACTGACTTTGCTTGAGTTCATAAATTTTGGTTAAAACCCACCTGATTCAATTTTCTTCGTTGGAGCTTTATTAAGACATTTATTGTTGCTATTCCAGATTTAGCAGTATATTTCCAAATGTTCAGTTGGCAGTGAAACGAAGAGAGCAAGTTTTACAGGTAATTTCTAAAGGTACCCTAACACCAAAGCGATAACCAGTTTCGTATGCTTGAAAATAAGAGGCATCGACCTAAAGTCTGTGAACATAAAGCCATAATGGTTAGACTCTTTCTTACAATCCAAACAGATCAATGCATTTACACAATGCTTTCATACAAGTTAGGTGACTATTGCAGTCAAGGTATAAGTATGAAGTTGGTAATAGCTTGACATTGTGAAGATGCAGTCATGGTATAAGTACGAAGTTGGTAATAGCTTGACATTATGAAGATGACTCTGTCACTGGAACTTTGACATTCTTGCTTCATTTTTCAGGAATTTCAGAAATGTCAGCTGAAGAATGATAAATATGAAGACAGAGAGAGAACTGGTCAGAATAGAGTTAAACAGGAACAAGTTAGTAGCCATTTTTTTAGCTTTGATTCCTTCAAGCAGGTTCCCCTTTCAGAGACGAAGTGCAAGATGGACTGACATGTAAAAAGCATCTAGTTGTATGGATGAAAAATACCCAGGCCTGGTGTGCTACAGGGAGAACACGTTAAAGATCAAAGATTAGGCAAATGCCACTGATCTGGCAAAATTTCTCTCAATTGCACACTGTATGGCCCATCCTCATTATTCCACACTATTGGTGAAACTAAACTAATTGTGAAATATGCTTGTATCATATAAGGCCTTTGCGATTAGTGTTGTCTTCAAACACTAAGTTTTAGTGGAATTGCAAGAACCACAGAGGTCTGACCGAAAAGTGGAATGCTGGCAATGGGTGCTGCTATCAGTATCCCCAATACACATAATATTTGTACAAAACTTCTTTACAATCCCCTTTAAGAAGCATATTTTTTATCCAGTCAAAGAAGATGTTGAACTCGGCAAGAGAAGAGTTTATCAGTCAGAATACAAGTTTAACATCAGATATTCCTAAACTCATAGAGGGCAGAATAGATTATCTTCAACCATCTTTTGAAGCTTTGGTTAACTCTCAGGTACAGGATTCACTGTTTTTATCTACTTTTAACAAAATTCTCATATTGTCTTATAACATGGGTTTTTAACCTGGGGTTATTTAGCCCCAAGGAGATAATTTTGAAAATAAAGGGAGGATATAAAAGTATAGCATCAAATTTTTGGACAAGTATTAAGCATTAAGATATCGCAATATTTCGTTAAGTTTGTTTTTTTCTGGTTTTTGAAACAAAATTATGATCTAGAAATTTTAAATGTAACATAAAAAAAAAATATCTCTAAAAACACCCAAATCTATAACATCATGAAAAAAACATCTGTTTCAAATATTAAGTTACTTGTTAAAATTATGTAAATTATCTTATCTGGACCAAAATTTAATGATATATCATGATAATTACCATATATCACCATATGGCCATGGCGATATTATTAACAATATAAATTCCTATACCAGTATTTATCCTGATACCGGTATATCGCCCAGCCCTACCTCATATTCATATCTAATAATAGTTATAATGGCATTAACAGTAATAAATTGTCATTCATCAGCCCATAAATGTGCACAGTGTTTGGGTGGAATATTAATTTTCTTTATACCTTTTTTCTTTGTTGTCTTAGAGACTCTATCTTATGTATTATGTGGGTGAGAGCTGACATCGAGTCGACTCTCTGAAGCACTTGCACAGGCATCAGAATTGTTCTTACCTTGAGAAGGATTCGAACCCACAGCACCTATTCACCTAGCAACGTGCTGCTGACTGAGCTATTCAACTTCCACAAAGTCAGTTCCAACCCAGCCTTAGAAGAAAGATTGCATGACATGACTCAATTTTCTCAATTTTGTCTGATTTCAGGTAACCTATAATACAGAGGCTTTTAAAATTTACAGTGAGCTGTCTCTACAGATGAATGATCTACAAGAGATATCCAATGAAGAATATAGTGCTCGGATACAGAAAAACTTGGATGACATGAAATCTCTCTCAATAACTGTAGACTAACTAATGTGAACTAAGTGGACTTCAGATACTTTTAAAGGTATACTAGGTGTGGACTATCCAAAAGGTTTACATCCAGTTCCAGAGCTATGTTTCAGATTTTCCATATAGGATCTATATAGCTTGAATAACTTTTCAAAGGTATAATCATGTGGACTATTCATGAAGGAATGCCAAAGAAACACTTAGTCTGCAGGTGGCAGCATGTGTTTTAAAGAGGAAGGTAGACTCTAGCTAGTCTAAGAGTATCATATCAAGAGCTATGGAATATTGCAGCAAAAAATCGTCGTAGCGATCACAACAGGTGTAGGAATCACTTTCCACTTGTTCGTGACGAAATTTTTAGCGTAAACAGGTTATCCAATCACATTCTAGAACTTCGGCTAACAAAATCAACGTCATGATCAAAATTAAAATATCGATAACTTCGATCTTAGATGACAGTGGAAATCAAAATTCGCCAAGCTTAAACCTTTAGACGAAAATATTTGCTTTGCGCAACAAAAAATCACCCTATTGAAAATAGCCTCTAGTGAATATTTAGTTTTTTTTATAAACATGGAAGATAAGTAATTTTTTATCAATTTTGTTGTTTGATTTAGAACAATAAAAGGGGCGTCACTCTAGACTGAGACCTGTGATATTAAGACTAAGTACTAGGATTCAGACAGCATGTACCTGAACAATAAGAACCTGTATAACAGCCACCTGTTAAAAATTTAATTGTGGCTCGACCTGTCAACTGGGCTTATTTCACACAGTGGTGTTTCTGGGAAACTAAAGATGAGGGGGCCGTGCATGGGCCACAATATTTTCCAGGGTGGCCATAGACATTTCTCACTATGTAAAATGATCAAAATTAAAAAGTGGGGAGCTAAATCCAGGCAAGCCTGGGGAGCGGTTACAGCCAAGGTGTGAAGGCACTGTAAGGTATTCATGATCTAACCCCAGGGGACTTATTCTTGTAAATTAAACTAACAGACTGGAAAGTCACTGCTGTTTGATAGCTTTATTACTCTGATAAAATCTTTTAATGATATTCAACAATTATAAAATGTACTATGTATAGACACAGCTTTATAGAACAATAATTACTGGTTAAAGTTTACACGACCAAGCACTTATCGGATTCTTACCATCAATCTGTCCTTGATATTGAAAGATAGCTTGCCAGGCAAGGTAATATACACCCACTGGCAGCTTTGATATTGAATAAAAATATTTGGCAGTACAATAACAATCACCAGTATGATATATTCAACCTTCAGTCATACACTTCTTTTGAACTCTTTAGGGTAATGCAACCGAGGACTTATAATCCAATTCTACTCTCTTACCAACAACAAGTCCTAATATAGTATGAAATATGATGATAGATCTTTACACTGTGACTTCAGTGTAAGACCGACTGTGACTTAATGACAAAAAATTAAAAGATAGTGGACCACAGCCATATACAACCACCACGGCAGGTGGATGGTAAATATTTAAGATTTTGGGGCAAGGGCAATAACTCTGCTTCTAACGGTTGAAAATAGCTCAAATTCAAACTTGATCTTCGTTTTATGAATATGTATACACATACTGAATTTCATTTGATTCCATCACAAAATCTAGTTCTTAGAGCGTTTACAAGTGGACGGACAAGGTTGCTGACAATAATAATTATAAAATATAAATGATTTTTGTGATGAATAATACTATACCCGGTACTATTTAATAACATGGTCCCAATTACTACATAGCAAAACTCATATCAACAATATATACAATATAGTATGGTAATTTAAAATCTTACTAACGAAGTTAGAAGTATACAGTTGGAACCCTGTTGATCTGCACATTTTGATTCGGAAACAATGTTTCAACAATTTACATTGTCATTATCAGATGAAATGAGGAAGTATGATATATGGAAGGATAGATATTTAAAATTATAAACATTATTTGTTGCTATTGTTAAAGATGGGTTTCCTTATTAAGCAAACTATTTGATTAATTGGTGTTTGAATGAATTATCATGTATTCTTAATCGTAACATTATGTTTTTATTGCATATAATTAAGAGTGTACAGTCTGGATAAACAAAAAAAGACTTTTTGACCTTTCTTGATTGATCACTCATTGGAATTCTGCTGGCAATTCTCTGGTAATTATGGACATGTGAGACAAACTGGTATTCTCCAAGTCAATAGAACACCTCTACTTTCTATTCATATAAGTATTAGCATTTTCATGAATGAATGAAAATAAGGGAACCCATCTCTAACTATATCAGTATAATTAACAAAAAAAACATTGAGACAAACAGGATTTCATTATCAAAATGGAATGGACCTAAAATCTTTTTATCTTTATTTATATTTTTTGTGAAAACATTAGGGGTACAACTAACAGCACCAATTCCCAAGAGGGCTCTTTTAAAAAATCAAAGATAACACATGTGTAAAGGCCACAATCCCAGTAAGGATTTCATAAAGAGAGGAAATTGATACTATGAACTGAGGGTCAAGGGGGCTTCAGGCTGCCATGTTGGGTACACAGGGAGATTTTACCATTTTAAGATGCTTTTGAAGCCATTTCCCATTTAGAAATCTTTGCATCCCTAAAACCAAATTTATCTGCTGTATTCAAGAATAAGTTGAAATACCACTAGCTAGAAAAATAGAGGAGATCTGGGATCCCTGAAAAACCAGCATGCTATTCCTCGAGCACTAAGAAGAAATTCTTGTATTCAATGAGAGTTCAGCATGTCCTGATTTTTATTTCTGGTATAAACTTTTCCTTCTGCTGTCCCAAAATACACCATTTTAGCTGACTGAATAAACAAACCTGTTTCTACCACACCTGTAATTAAATTAACTTCATGTAACTTTCAACTAAGTTCAGAGGCTTAAAGGGACAGGTGCCCCATTTTTTGACCAATCCTCACTGGAACTTTTTAGTTGAACTAATCAGTAATAGTGAGCTTCCAAATCCATGTGTGTCCAGAATTTTCATTGTTGAATGTTAAAATGACAACTCGTCAATTTAAGATACTCTGTGATATATAGAAAATACAATTATAGAAATAGAGAGTAAAATTCCTAGTTTGAGATGTTTTTAAAGGAATTATGCAATTTTTGTACTTCTAGTACTTCGGAAGACTATTTACATATATTCAAGACTCAAATCAACCCCTGAAAATGGCTAACCTGTTCCATTAAGTGAAACAGTGTAGAAATTTGTTATAGTTTTGTATCTATTAGAAGAGACGACTAATCCTACCTGGTATGGAATGTAAAAAAGTATCAACTTGTTCCCAATTCTGTTTTCCTTCAAAACACCAATCTAATATTAGGTTTCCATTATCTGTTACTACAGGACCCTAAAAACAAGGGCAATAATTCATTCAAATACACAGAACCGTGAAAACAAGGGCAATAATTCATTCAAATACACAGGACCGTGAAAACAAGGGCGATTACTCATTTTAAATACACAGGACCGTGAAAACAAGGGCAATTACTCATTCAAATACACAGGACCGTGAAAACAAGGGCAATAATTCATTCAAATATACAGGACCATGAAAACAAGGGCAATAATTCATTCAAATAGGGCCCTGAAAACAAGGGCCATAATTCATTCAAAATCGTCAAGTTTTGACTTCAATTTATAGAAAGGTTACTGCTCTGCCAGGCTCAAATTGAATTACACATGTCAAAGAATATAACAATGTACTGTTTGATACCTTTCTAGGTGAAGGAGAAAAAACTGCATTAAGGGCGATTATCCTACTTCAAAATAGAACTTATTGTTCCTTTCATTTGATTGGCTAATATATTAATTTCAATTTTAGATGTACCTTTCTTTACCAATCAGATTGCAGTATTTTTTTAAAGAAAAGCTAATGTTTGATTTAAAACTCACTGCTTTTTTAGTTGCCATTCTAATATTGGCCTTTCCTCCTAACTTAGACTGTATTTTCATCTGAACTGGTTTATAGGCCATTGGAATAACTTCAATAGGAATACCTTTCTTCCAACTATCTCCCAGATGTTCACTGTCTTTTCTAAAATAAATTGGGAATGAATTAATAACATGCTTGTTTTAAAGGGATTGTAAAGAGGTTTCATGACAAATAAATGGCAGTGTTTAAAGGGATTGTAAAGAGATATTCTACCATTTTCATGTGTATCAGGAACATTGATAGCATTCCAATATTTTAGTCAAGATGTCTGTAGGTTTTGCAATTTCTTAAACAAATGTAATATACTAGGGTATTATTAGCAGCTTTTGCAGTGGCGGCGCCAGCCTGTCGAGACTGGGGGTACAAATAGGGGGCAGACTGACTCAATGGGGGACAACTACTGAGGCTGAATTCAAATTCTGGCTACTCTGTGGTGGTGTCATAGTCACAAGCCTCTCATAGAGTGTCATGTTATGTTATAATACAGCAATTGCAAAGACACTAAGAAGCTTTAGTGACAACATGCAAGTATAGGCAGTAACAGCTTACAGTCTCAGTCAGACATGACTGGTTAATACACCTACCTATAGTCAGCGACCAGTATAAATTCTTCAGCACAATAATCTACTATCTTCTCCTGAGTTTGACAACCCCCTCCCCCTTTAATACAGTTTAACTGGTAATCCACCTCATCTGCTCCGTCTATTGCTATATCTAGTTTCGGGTTCATTTCCAGTTGTCCTAGAGTTAACCCCCTTTCTATGATTGCTTGACGTGCCTGAAACACAAAAGTCATAAAACGATAAAAAACGATAAAAGTTTGTAAGAGACTTGATACTCTATTCCATTCAATTCAAAATAGAAAGGAAAGGAAATTAAATGAATGGAGTTTTACATCCTACTTTTCTGCACCATGTGGGCTAATGAAGACGGGCAACGCCATGCAAGGGGCAATGAGAGAAATTTTGACAGTGTCATAAAACTGCTCATATTAGATTTCTTAATGTCGAGGGATTGATAATGATTTTATCATGAGAATGATGGCGATTGTGTTTTCAACTACCAGTATCTTAAAATATCAGCCTTAGATTTAGTGTTTTCAAGATATTCTTCCTATAAAACACTAACAACTTCTGTAAACATTAGTGTTACTGAATCAGAATAAATTTGTTATTATATAGTGAAAAAATATTATTAAATGTACTTTTGTTTGTCTGTGTGTGAGTTACTCCTTGTGGCTTGCAAATTTTTAAAAAAAAAGGCTTATGTGCATTAGATGCCTGTTGTGTGACAAAAAAAAAAACACACTGCATTTTGGTGATGTTACTGTTCCAACTGTACTACTTTTTCTCATGGTACAGCTTGGACAGGTCCAGAACACTGTCGTTTTCAGCTCGATAGCTGTTCTCCTTGTGCGGAAATTCCTGACTGCTAATCGAATGGGCCTCTGGAAACGATGATGAATGCTCATCATGATGTTGATGAGAATCTAGGAACACTGATTGCACCAGTGATTATTGACCGGTGTATGGGAATTGAAACACTTGTAACTCTATCCTGTGAATTATAATTATTGTGGTATTAAGATAGGAAAAGTAAATAATGGTATATTGTGTACCTGGAATGATGTAGGAATACAGATGAGTTTTAAATTCTCATTTTTCACTCTTTCAGCTGGAAATAAAAAATATACTTAATAAAAGAACAAAGATATTGAGAGTTTTTTTTTATAGTACATGGGGCCTCGGTTTATTGTCCCATCCGAACGACTAGACACTTTATCCATGTCAGCCCTTCTTACCTGCATCATTGACAATGAAAACTGGGTTAAAAAATCCAAAGTTATCATCTTGACAGATGATACAATACCGTTAGGTCCTCTTGTAATGTCCCCTCTAACACTTGTAACAGGTGCTTGTATGTATATTCAATCGTTATTAGTTGAAAGTATTAATACAAACTAACATACTAAAAGGTTCTTGTAACATAGACCAGAATAGGAAATATCATTATTATACAAAGAAAAGATAAAGCAGTACCAACCTATTCTGTCTATAGAGTAAACTATAGTTGACCCACTTCCCACACCAATAATTTGGTTATCCTGTAACATACAAATGCAAAGATACAAGGTAATCTGCTCAAATAGAAAGGAAGAAGCAACCAATTTTACAAGGATAATAATTTGGGTTCACATGAATCCTTTCTATTGGCTGGTGGTCCTTGGCCAACCTCTGCCAACTGAGATTTGAACCAATGACCACTTTTAAGAAATCTTAAAAGGGGTATTCCGCATTTTTCTAAAAGGTTTCATTATCAAAAACGTCCTAAATTATACCTGAAATATTTCTAACGTATGCTAATTATTTCTATGTACCTTCATGAATAAAATGAATTTATTCTAAAATTTTTAATTAAAAACAGAGAGCAATAAGTGTTAATTATGCAGTTTGACCTAGTTTCGGTGTTTGGCTCGTTATATTTAGTTTAAACCTTATAAATATATAAGTGACATATTTCTCCACAATTAGGCCTTTATTTTAATCAAATCAGTATATATAGTTTCTAACAGCTTCCAAAAAGCATAACGATCTTACAAACCTTTATAATGTTTTTAAATATTTTTGGCGTTTAGAAATCAATGGTTACATTAAAGGGCACATTTCTCTAGATTTTGGTGTATAGCTTTCATAAATTTGAGCAAAACAATTTTTCAACCTACAAAAAAAAAGCAGAATGTCCCATTAAACTGCTGTGCTTACTTTTTTTTAGACCAATTCTTAATAAGGCTATTAATGAGCTAGAAACAAACTAACAAATCAATGCTACAGCAAATACACATAAAAAGTTTAGAAAACCTTTTGACACTCCCTTAAATGCTATTAATGAGCTAGAAACATACTAAAAAAACATTAGAAGAATTGTCAGAACCACAGAAGTCAGACTGAAAATTGGAATGATGCAAATCAATGCTACAGCAAATACACATAAAAAGTTTCGAAAACCTTTTGACAATCCCTTTAATCTACCTAAATAATGTTGATGGAATCTAAATATTTCATATAAAATGGTATTTATTATGGAATGTTGAATATTTTATATAGATAATTAAGTTTTGCTGTGTCATTTTCAATATTGTTTGAGCAAGTTCATTGGTATATCAAATTTTGCACGTTTTATTTATAAGAATTTAAATAAAGGTTTAAAAACAGTACTGATAATGTCTTTGCATTGATGAAAATAAAAACATGAGCAAACATTATCAATTTCAATATGTTTTTACTGACGACAATATTTTGGTCAAAATTCAGGACATTGTTGGTTGAAATTTCTGACAGGAAATTAATTTCTCTTCAATGTCAATTTATAAAATATTATATATTTATCAACACAATGTTATTCTATCTAAGATTATCTAAACTGTTCTGAAGCTTATAGTCAAATTCACATATATAAAATGGGCAAAATTCTACATAGGCCTACCAATGAACTTGTTATTCAACAGGATGATATTCATATTTTCTTCCTGGTATAATTGTTCTGAAAACTTTTATCAGAAATTGATATTTTTTATTTACTGGCAGGCTACTATCTTGGTAGGTTAATAGCTTAACTGATATTAACATAGGCTTATATAGCCTGTAACACTTGTTATGATGTACTATACAACTTACCTAGGCCAGTGCTTTTTAGAGAATACTACACTTTACAATGGCATTCTCATCTGGCATTGCAATGAAATTGGTCCCAATATCTCAATTCTCGTCAAACAACTTGACTAATGTCAACCAGAAAATGAAATCAAATGATTTCAATCACAAATAGCAAATAGTGTTCGGATTAAGACTTAATCTCTGGTCTGGCCACACTGAGTTCTAAATTGAATTTTTTCTCTCATGTCACAAATATTCAAAATTTGATTTTCAAGTGCATACCAATTGTCTTAGAATGCCTTTGGGTCCATGAATATAAAAGTTTTGAAAAGTTTGCACTTAAAATGAACACACTTCTCTTTGATGAGAATCTCAGTTTCAAATAATTTTGTTTTCAATGGTTGTCATTTCATCACAATGACAATCTAAGACTTTCAGCAATATTTGCAGATTAATATTTCATTTCATTCAAAATGATAGCCAAAATTTGATTTAGAACTTGATGTAGCCAGAGAGTAGATCGGAGGTAAAGTTCTACCACATATTTGCCAATGCCACCAGCTCTGCCTTGCGAATCAGTGCGGCAGAAAAAATGTAAACAAACCAAAAAAGTTCCTAAAGAAAAATGCAAGAAGTAAAATATACCTTAACAAAATCATCGACAGCTTTGTAGGCGGCTGCTTTCTTTCCTGCGTTTATGCCTTCGTCCATTTTGAAGGTTGACAACTTGTGTTTACCATTCGCCGCAAAATTAGAGCATGCGACAAGCAGAGATCGATTGACGCGCTTTAATGGATTCCACCACATGGTGCATGGTACTGTTAAAATTCATAACTTGTAAATTTCTGAAACGAAATATTGTTTGTAAGTAGAATTAATATTAGCGTGTAATGTAGCCTGTACATTTAGATAAAATGCACTGCTTTGTGTTCTTTCATTGACAAAATTCTGAAATGCGAAAATTATTTCTTTTCGTTCCAAGAACTGAGATTGTATTCTAATGTTTCCAGACCACTAATAATTTCTCCTTGAAGTAAAAGTGAAAGAAGAATGGTATATTATAATTATAAAATGATTGAAGTACACGATTTTGTTACTATTAAACGAAAAGCCTATCATTCGGGAAATTGATTCCTTTTCGGTATTAGATGTGCAATAATGAAAATTTTGCTAGAAAAGCGGAGAAAAAGGGCGCTCAAAGATTGCTGCTCAGACGAAACTTTTTTGGGATAAACCCTAATATGATGGATGCATTTATCAAAATTGTAAGTGCACTTTCATTGCCGTGTTTGGTTTAAAGCAGGCCCGTAGGTAGCCTTTTGACTCTCGTTTGTATGTGAGTATGATTTGTGGTAGGTTCTGGCAGATTATTGCCTCTAGCCTCTCAGCCTCTAGTTGTTTTGAAGATTTTCGCCCTACACCAGTCGATAACTTTCATAATAGCTATCAGGGGCTGGAATAGAGACATGTGTTTCCCGGTGCTTTGAGCCCAGGCAATTCGGTGGATCCCCCCAGAAAACAGGGCAACAGGGAAATATAAAGCAATATAGCCCTTGAAAGCTTGAGAAAGAAAAACGAAAAACTACTTGTTCTTTGTAAGAAAACTTAGTATTACAATAAATTAACAAAGGTGAGAATGAAATAATTGATAACAGTGAATATATACACGTCTGTTCATTGCCGCTATGGTGCTCGTTCCTTACAGTTAATACACAGGGCAATACGCATGTGACGAGATCACTAAATGACCATGTCCAGTTAACTAGGATCGACATTGGCTTCAAAATTAGAATAAAACTGAGAATATCCCCACTTGAAACTACATGAAATCCCTCTAGCAACTCAAGTATTCACGAAGAGCCTTTGTAGAATGTTCTATGATTCTTCCCATTGTGGCCCCGGCGGCTGGGTTACATTTCTGACTGACCAATTCTTCAACACACTTCGGAATCTTACTAGCTTCACTGAAATTAAAAGAAATTGAAATGAATGTTTTACGTCCTACTTTTCTGCACCATGTGCACTAATGAAGACTGACATGCAGGGTACAATGAGGGAAATTTTGCCAGGAGTACATATTATTGACTTTATAGGACCCTATATAAAGCACTTCTTATGTTGACGACCCATGTGTAGTTTTCAAACGGTTTAGTTTTTCGACGCAGCAACCCAGAGAGTCCACATATTTTATCACGTTCGTTCGGTAGGCCCTATTTGATTATGTCCCAGAGAGTCCACATAGTTAATAATGTTTATGTGAACCCACCTGCAAGGAGATCCTTCGCCGGCACCATTAAAAAACTTCTCAGAACACATGTTCACAATGACAGATATATGTCCGTTTTCAAAACAATCAATGCTGGCAATGGTATCTATAAAGGAAGAATATAGATGAAATATTTGTTGCTTGAAGTCAATCAAGAGTTCCCTCCCTTTAACTGCATTTTCTGACACGGTACATTAAGCTGTCTGTCGCCTATATTTCAGTTTGAACAGTGCATAATTCGTTGTTCAGCGCTCTGTTTATTAGCGTTTTTGAGTTCTGCATCATATCTCCATCATATCCCCTTTTCTGTTAGGTTATTATGCGTATATACAGACCATGGTAAGCCTATCTAATCACATTCAATTACTCATTACATATACCGTATGTTTCTGTGTATAATGCACAGTTCTTTACCCCAAAATAGGCCGCTTACAGAAGGAGTGCCCACTATACTATGTAATAAATTTTAAGTTGTAAACACGCATTTACTGAAAACTTTAAATAAGATTAATTAGGTTGAAAAACATGAGCTCACCTTGCTTGCCCTCACCGCACATATAAAGATAGGAATCTAAAACTGTTCTGGAATTCAACCATTCTTCAGTCCCTTGACAACTTTTTAATAAATCATCTTTATTCATACATTTCTCAACTTCATCAAAAGATCTGCAAATGAGAAATAAATGTTATTCGTGTTTCTATTATTAAATGTGCAGTGATTTTTGTTATCTCGTTTTTCAAGTCAGATTGGAAATATAGGTGAAGATCGTTTATCTTGCTTTAAAATAATATTGGGGATAAAGGCGTAAGCACAGGTTAACAGGAAATCATGAACACTTGACTTACCCACACTCCGGTAGCTGATTGCTAGCATCTCGTTTTCTTCTGTAAAACAGGGAACTGGCATCTTTCATGGGTCCTTTACACAGTGCTAACTTTTCTTCATCGCAAACAGCTGAAATATCAATAACCATAACCAGTGACAACTTCTATATTATAATGAATTTAAGGAATGTTTTTATTTTGAACGTCATTTGACATTTGTTACAAACAAGAAGTATGTTGAAATATTAAAAGTGGCGGCGTCAGTGGGGGTACAGGGGTCGCATTTGCCCCCTATAAAAGTGGTTTACACCCCCCCTTTAACAAGTTTCATTGCAGAAACATCAGAGAACATCTTTCCCCCTTTTGTTGAAAGTTTTTCCCCTTTTATTTTCCTCCCTCCTTTCTCACTTTCTTTTATTGCGATATCAGCATCCGCTTGAAGCGAACGTTAACTTGGCATCTACCAACCAGCCAACCAACTGAACCCCACTTCATTTTTAACAAATCTAAATGTCTACCTTTCTTTCTCCTAAATGTGTCAGAATACAGAAAATCAATTCGTTTTCTCTAAAATTGTCTCCAGGGAACCCTCTAAGATGTTACGACTATGACACCACCACAGAGTAGCCAAAATTTGAATTCAGTCTCAGCAGTTGTCCCCCCATTGAGTCAGTCTGTCCCCTATTTGTACCCCTAGTCTCAGAAGGCTGGCGTCGCCACTGAATATTAAGTTTTTATTATCTTTATTATTCTGAGAGGCCAGAATGTGTAAATTAGATGATTTATCGCATGTAGAATACTAGTTTCATTTTCTTCTCATATGTCCTTGTTTTAAATCAATTTAGATATACTTGTCATTCCACAATATTCTTATGAGCATCCTGATGAGAGGAAATTTAGTATTCCGTCAGTCTGAACAATCCGACATCACCCGATTTATTGCCTTATTTTTCAGTTAGGAAACTACATTTCTTTACATAGTTCAATGGAAACAACATTTTATATATTAAAAACTCATTTCGCAACAGAATGTTGTAATCCTCTTACGAAATGGAAGAGAATGGATGGGCATTAAAAATGCCAGCATATAACTAAGATGCATAAACCGTCAAAAAACCGTTACTTCTGAACATAAAAAATAATCCGCGTTCCTGTGGTTTTTACAGCATTAGTACAGTGGAAAATATAATCAGCCAAACTTACCTGATATCGCAGAAATACAAAATACCAACGTTACTAAGATACTGTAAATTGATGAAAAATCCATTTTTAATGTGTAAAGTATATCTTAAAGTTCTCTTGCCTTTCAACTTCGTTTAACTTTACTTTCACAGAACACGATGATAAGCTTTCAGCTAATTGATATATCAGTGTTGCTGTATACGTTGGTAGGTAGGTAGTAGCAAGTTAATGTCCGCACTCCGCTTCGAGCTGCTGTATACGTTGGCAGGTAGGTAGGTAGATGACAAGTTAACGTCCGCACTCCGCTTCCAGCTAATTGATATTGCAGTGTTGCTGTATACGTTGGTATAAGAAACTAATATTTATACCCTTATGGCTAATTGTTCTAACCTTTTCTTAACAAATAATGTTTGTTTAGTCATCAACAATATTAGACGATTACCATAATCTGTGGAGATTTGGGCTGTGGGGATAATTACACAATGAGTCAGTTTTGATAGATGACATTTGGCTTTAAATGAAAAGCATTGTTGCCAAAAATGACACTGTAGATTATCTTACCTCCTGATTTTCGGCAAAGGAAATTATCTTGATTGCTTTGAACCATGTAGAAAAATCAGGAGCTGAGGCTAGGTGAACTAAGTCTACAGGCCCCAACCCCCAGGAAAATTGTTCAACCCAATATAGTCCAAGGGCCCCCACTCATCTAGTTGAGCCTTTGCTATGGGAGCCAACATTATTGGTGTCGTGCCAACTTAGTTTTTTGGCTTTAACCTCGACCTCTCCTATTGTCTTTACTTACTCGGCACCAAACAAAGAGATTATAATAAATTCCTTTAACAACATATTAAATGGGATTAGCTAAATGGCTTGTGTTGTTTTAACTAATTATAGGGAGGGGACTTGGGTGTAGGGGAAATGGAATTTCGGGGTTTTGGGCGATAACCATTGAAAAAGTTAAAATCATATATCAGTGAGCGATGTTCACCATTGTTTTTGTAACCTTAAAATACTTTAAAAAGACAGGTAGGCCATTTTGACAAATCATACTGTAGTATCACAAACTGGATTTTTTTTTAGCTGAGCCCATCAGAAATAGTGTTCACAGCTCACCATCGAAATTTGATCCTTCAAATCTATGTGTGTCCAGAATTATCTGCGTTTGAATGTTGAAATGACGACTCGTCAATTTAAGGTACTCTGTGAAATATAGAAAAGACGTATGTAGGAATAATGAGTAAAATTCGTAGTTTGAAGTATTTTTAAAGGAATTGAGTGATTTTCGTATATTTCTAGTACTTCTGAAGACTATTTACATATATTGAAGACTAAGATCAACCCCTCTTAATAGCACATCTGTCCCTTTAAAAGGCTCTTTTGTCCCCTTTAGTCAAGTTATTTAGAGGAATGTCTCGCAGCGCGAATTCTTCGTTGCCAGAAATGCAGGCAATGGAACAGTCAGCTAAACCAGCTTGTTCGACGAGCCATAGTTCCAAGTACCAGTGGACGCCAAACTCCAGGACGAATTCCCTAACATCTATACTCAACGTTTGTTAACTGCTTACTAAAGGAATAAAAATCTGAGCAATGTTCTTGTCCATGGTAGATTAGATCCCCTTTCATTAACTCCCTGAAACAATCGCTTTGCATTTCTGAATTATTTGTTTTACCTTGTAATCTCTCCAGAAGTAGGTAATTTCCTATCAAATTGTATTCCAATGCTGGAATCCACAGTCCCTACTTGTGACCTGGGCCGGTGCTTCTATAAGAGTGTATCCCTTATAAAACCTTATACCAACCCCAGCCTCTTCGGCGACAAATTAGGTGTTGTGGACTAATAAATTATGATACGTTATTTATGAAATAGCTGATGTATGTAATTAGAAAATGACAAACAAAATATTAGAATTAAAAAACCATTTATTAAGTAATAAATTGTTGTACAACGTTTGTTTAATTAACAGATTGCCTTATTATTTTTTTCCTAATTACGCCGGTAATAACTCGATGATTCACAACTTAGTTTCGACCTTCGATAATTTATGACTTGGCATTGAAGTAAATATGCCCGTTGGAAAGTGTAGATAGAAAGTGCACTTTCAGGCAAATAGATGATGCTCGACGTCCGACGTGGTGTACGCAGGGTTTAATTGAAGCGGCATGGCATCGCATTTTGCGAGTCAACATGACCTCTTTTGCCTTTGCGATCCAATATTTTCTTTTGCCAATCAAATCAAAATGTATACTTATATTGAAAATTCTTAATTCCAAATCTAGAATATTGTACGTCGACGTCGTGATCCCTTTAACCTTAAAGATCTTACGTCGTTGACACGATCGATCCGAATTCCACGACTCAAGCAATAAGAATTGCTTACAAATATTTATGAAATGCGAATGAAAATTTAACTTTATTAGCAAAAACTCAAATTTGGTAAGATTAATTGTGCGTTATATGAGTATCAATACAGTTTAAACATGAGAAGAAGCAACTATACAAGCTTGCATTAATAATTGACCGAGCTTGAACAATTTAGCTGTAATTAAGCTCTATAAGCAAGAAGCTTTAAGCAGATATTTAGACGAATACATCCATAGACGTCCTCTTTCACTTAAAAATGTTTTTAGAAACTGCACCAAGACTGTGACAGGATTATTTTCACTTTTTATCTTTAAGAGGATGTGCAGTAAACCCATCTTTATTTAATCTATAAAACAGAGAAAAAATATATCAGCTATAGGGAATATCTGAAAGAAATGGTGTGTATACAAACTCAGTCACATCAGGTGGTAAGGGGAGTCAGCATGCCCTTTCTAACTAGCAATACGTGCCCAGTACTTACAGTGACATTGTTATTCTTCAAAAAGGTTGCTGTGTTGACAAACTCAGTAGCAAAGTGGCATCAGGTTTATTGGAAGAGTAAGCATGACTTACAAGTCTAACAAGCGGCAATAGAGAGCAATTTTGTTGTAGTGGAGCCCGAGTGAAATGAAGATATAAGATTTCGACTCAGCATTAGTTTGCACGAGTTACATGGAGGGGACGCAAGACATTTAAACTAACTCTGTTGAACAGTTTTACGATGTGAACATTGCAACCTAACCCTTTACTTGGTAACTGTAAGTGCATTACAGTTAAACTTGTATTAAGCATGCGGACGAATTGGCCACTTACTGGGAGGTGTCTGCTTAACGAAGCTGCACGGTGGTATCTTAAAGGGACAGAAGCGTCATCGTTTTTTGACAAATCATGCCCTTGGCAGAAACGGGATATTTTATTAGCAAAGCCAATCACCGTCCAGAATTATCCACGTTTGAATATTAAAATGACGACTCGTCAATTTAAGATACTCTGTGATATATAGAAAGGACATATAAAGAAATAGAACCGTAATTTCTTAGTTTGAGGTATTTTGAAAAATTGTGCGATTTTCGTACATTTCTAGTGCTTCCGAGGAATATTTACATATATTCAAGACTTAAATCAACCCCCTAAATGGCGCATCTTTCATTTAAGGCCTACCTGGTGATCTGATTTAAGTTAAATAACCCATAGATCAGATTATTTTATTCATAACAATAACATCATTATCAAGATTCCTGTTTTTGATCGCAATCATTGACACTAGTCCACCAAACTTTCGCCCTCAGGATATACTTACATCCAAGTCGAAATCCAAACGAGCATCCCATAAATTTTTTGGCTGGTTTTAATCCTCGGTAGATCATTTCCATCATGAATTCTCCGGCTTGTCTGTTACAAACTCGTCCTGTCATTATCCCCAGACAATCATTCAGGTTCACTAAGGCACTGTAATACAGACATATAAACAATGGCGTATTTATGATGCCATGCCCCACCCTGCCCCCACCCTATTGAAAAATTTCTACTTTTACTGCCAAAATCGCGTTAAATGCATTTTCCGCATTTTCCTGAATTTGTTTTCAGGAGGAGCGTGACCCCCAATCGCCACATGTTCTCTCTGAAATCCAAAACGGGAACCGAGGTGCTCGGATGCCACCAAGTCTGCTTCAGAAAAATCTCAAAAGTTCAAAATACTTGATGACAATCAATTACTTTGATTTGACACTTTAAATGTCCTTGTCCACCCCTACAAAATCTAATTACAGCAATTACAGCAACGGTGCTGCTGTTTAACATTTAACATCTCAAAAGAAAAGTAAATTCAAGAAACATGCTGACCGTCGATTTCATTTTTACAGTTCAGTCTTCCACCCCAACTTTCAATTAAGTCAGTCTGGAAACGGACTTTCCTCAACTTAAGCACTGGTTTAAGTAATGGACTTTAATACTCAAAAGGAAAGGAATTACTTACTCGCATCTATCAGCAATGATAGTTGAGGATGAGATGCGCCTCTGAGCTATTTTCTGACAATGCGCCATCCCATCTTTAAAGTCGGGATCATCCCAGCATTTTGCTTCTTCTTGAAATACTGAAAAAAAGCAAATACCTTACTTCTTTTTAGAGTGACGGTATATCAATAGAGCAGAGCGTGACGGTATATCAATAGTACAAAGCATGGCGGTATATCAATAGGACAAAGCGTGAAGATATATCAATAGGGCATAGCGTGACGGTATATCAATATGACAGAGTGTGACGGTATATCAATAGAACAGAGCGTGACGATAATTATATCAATAAGACATAGCGTGACGATATAACAATAAGACATAGCGTGACGGTATATCAATAGGACAGAGCGTAACTGTAGGACAGAGCACGCTTGTATATCAATAGGACATAGCGTGACTGTATATCAATAGGACATAGCATGACTGTATATCAACAGGACATAGGGTGACTGTATATCAATAAGACAGAGCGTGACTGTATATCAATAGAACATAGCGTGACTGTATATCAATAGGACATAGCGAGACTGTATATCAATAAGACATAGCGTGACTGTATATCAATAGAACATAGTGTGACTGTGTATCAATAAGACATAGTGTGACTGTATATCAATATGACAGAGCATGATGGTATATCAATATGACATGGCGTGGCGGTATATAAAAAACAGCGTAACGAAATATGAATGCGGCATAGCGTGGCGGTATATAAATAGACCATAACGTGATCGGTATATTGACGTGACATAGCGCAAGGTCCATAAAACATACCCTGACGCAATATCAATGTGACATAGTGTGATTGTTGTGACGCTATATCAATATATCAGAGTTTGACGATAAATCGATATGACAGCATGTGGTTAAATGTTTACGTGGCATGACGTGCAGACGTGACAATTGTTTGCGTGTGACGAAACAACAATTTACGTGACAATATGTATATGATGTGCTGGCATAACAATATAGCATAGCGTGACGGTATACCAATGCTACAATATGACGGTGCATGATTAATGTGATGAAATGAAGTATTCAGAAAACTGAACTCTTCTTTGAAATACATCAAATTTGAATGCTTACCCTGTCTTCCATCACCACACAGATACCCTAATATACCATTTAATGTCTGAACAGCAAGATCTGAATTCTTGTTGTAACATTCTACCAACTTATTGTTGATGCATTTCTGAGCATCACTGACCAATCTAGAAAATGTCATTGTCAATTAAGCACAAGTCAGTTTGATACACCCAGTTTAGGCACTCGGTCAGTAAGGCACAGTGACTCAAAAGAGGTGATCTTCTGTATATTTACATAAGGTATATATACAGAGAAGGTGTTTTGTATATCATAATGCTGTCATTAGTACAACAGAACCCAGATGTCAAGTAGACGATGATCTTTCTTTGGTACTCATTGCATGGCGATGATCTGATCCACCAATGGAAGTAAATGGAAGGAAATGAAATTGAATGATCTTAATAGAGACAGACAACGCTATGCAGTGTACAATGATTGAAATATCACAAAGCAAGTTATCGTATCATATATCTGTCTTCTTTTGATGCTTTCCGCGTAAGAAAACTAAAGGAATTATTGGCAATACCTAGTGTACTTACAAACAAAATCCATTCATGTCCCCTCCCTTACCAATAGCAGCCAGGTCGGTCTGTAGGGGGTTCACCATTGAGGATATTGGTCCTAAACAGGAATAAATTTCATTCTCGTTACACCGATACCCTGATCTTTTGTAGGTCGGTAATCCATCGCTCACTGGAATAGAAATCATTATGTTTCTTTAATATTCCTTACAGCCCCGTCACACCGAACTGCGACCATTTACAATCTTATGACGACTAAAATGTATTTGGTCGCCGGCAAACGTGAAATTTTTTTTTACAAATATACAACAGTTGCTATCAACCTGCGAGATAGTCGGTCATATTGCGTGTCCAAGGAGCGTTTCCATGGGCATGATGCACTTCATTTTTATCGCAATTATCGAGATGCAAGTGTTTCATTGTAGAGTAGTAATTTCATTATACTGTAATTTGTGGAAACGTTGTGTCCAAACAACTTATAATGGCATTCCGCCAAATTTTTAAAATTACGTATAGCGCTCTCTTTATTTTAATCCTTATATTTTTGTCACATGGCTACAATCAAAATTATGTGAATTTATAACAAACTTCAATGACAATTTTAGATAATTTGAGCCTTAATATTTAACGAGTTTGACTTCTGAAAACTTATCCTCCGTTTATTATCAGGTTAACACATTTTTTTTGTAAAACGCAGTATCCCGTCTAATCGTTTGAAATGATAGAAAGTGGGCATAATGCAGGGCGAACTATTGTGACCTTACTCATTGTACATAGATACAAATGACCTTTAAATGATTGCAATTACCACACATATTCTGTTGCAATTAGTCGATCATTAATTTCTTCTCACAAATTTTCTTTTGTCAGATAAATTTGTGGGCAGAAATTAATAAATTTCGTCTTCAATCTCGAACAAAGATTTTTTTACTTTTCTGTTATTTTTTAATAATCAAAAAATAAGAAATAGAAAATCATTCAAACCTTGAAATAAACCGAGAAAAACCAAACTCAACCCAAGGAGCATTTCTGGATACCACATGTTCTGTGCTAAAATTGTGATCCTGCTCTCTGTCCACTTATATCACCTCTGAAGTGGGTACCTGAATTACTTTTTCCTGTTGTAGGTTAGACAACTAGTCACTAGTCTTTACAGATATAAGAAAATCCCTTGAAAAACTTTTCACAGCGACGAGGATGTGTCTTAGCACCGGTCAGAATCCTATGTGGGATCTTTTGTTTTTTCAGAACAAGTCTCGGGCTAGTCCTCAAATAATGGAAAGCTGCAGCAAATCACTTAAAATTCAATCTTTACCATTTAAACTTTCGCAACTGTATTTAAATATGACGAAACAATATTTATCCTGAAATTTAGAAAAATAAGAATATGGATAAGTATAAGATTCTTGTTGACTTACGAAATTTTAGAGCAGATTCACTTTATCTAGAAAAAAAACAAGCGTGCTACACAGTAAGAAGAATATACGATAGTCCGAAACATCTGCATCTATTCCAGCCTCTGGTAGCTTTTGTGAAATTTTTCAATTGTCAAAATAGCTATCAGATGTTTCTGTCTAGATATACGATTGGTGGCAAAAGTATAAAGGTTTCAAGATGATGGGCGCTATACAAGTATGTATCCCATCAAGCCACAAAAACATGGTACTTCACTCAAGAACCAAAATATAGCATACCTTTTTTCAAAAAAGCCAGCACTTTGCTTCCAGCTACAATAAAATACACAACGAATCAGAGAATATAAGGTGTTCTGGAAAGAAAAACATGTTCTTTCTCTCAAGCTGCACCCTGTCCATCTTCACAATGTCAAGCTATTACAATCTTCGGATTATACCTAAGTGAAAAAGCCACCTTTCTGTTATCACGGAAGTATGCAATGCCATGGATTGTGCGTTTGCGAATACAGCCAATCAGAGTCCTCGACAGAGAGTCGCTAAACAAAAATCCATTATATTTACAGTCTTCTGTCGAGGATATTGATGGGCTGTATTCGCTAGCGTACAATCCAATTGCTGTATTTCGCGATACAAGAAAGGTAGCATTTGTAGTCAAGGTATAAGACAGAGTTCGTAATAGCTTAACATTGTGAAGATGCACACTATCGGATCAGGATATTTGTTTCTCGTGGAAACCTGGACCTGTTAACAGATCGAGCTTCTCCGATGACTACGATAATTTAACATCCACCAATCAATATATAAAACAATATACTTCACCTTAATCCGATTGGGAACACTTCCTGTCACCCTGCATTTACTGTTGTCAACTTAACATCATTTGACTTGACACGTTTGAAAATCAGTCATCGACAAAACGACTAATAGATGAAGTATATATTCTACACTATGCCAATATGATTATCCAGTTATTATCACGTCTACCCCGGAGTGTCCACGACTATAATTATGCTCATTTGTTATTTATTATATTCAATACAAATTCTGAACTCTCTTGCTTTGATGACTGATGATATAAAACAGCTTTAATTCCTAACAGTATGATTCTATCAGCGATAATCTACCATCTATGTAAATGGAAATCATCCTAATTTTCCATCGAGACCTTTTATAATTCTGTAGTTTAAAGAGACTGTTATTATCGCAAATAATCGCTAATAATATTTAAGTGCATTTGCGATATTGGCGTGATAAAATGTGGAATATGGAATTGGAATTATAAGAACCACAGACATCTGACTTAAAATTGGTGGCAATCGATGCTACCAAATGTCCCAGATACACATAAATAGTTGCTCTTTATTTTCCTTAAAATGTGTCTGTTCATGTTCTAGTCTCAGGGAATGAAATTGAATCTAACTATTCTGAGCTAATTAGATGGAGTTTTACATCCAAATGCATCTATTTAGATCTTTAAATCTTAAAACCACGAAATGCAGTAGTATCTGGAAATTGGAACTATTCACACACGTGCTTATGAAGACCCGCCCCATTTCTACCCAATAATTGGAATTATTCATACACGTGCTAATTAAGACCCGCCCCATTTCTATCTGGTATTTGGCACTATTCATACACGCAGCCCCGCCTCTTTTCTATCTCATATTTGGAATTATTGATGCACATGCTTATGTTGTCCCGCCACTTATCCATCTGATATTAGGAACTATTCCTACACGTGTTTATGAAGCCCTTTTGGAAGGAGCTTTAGGAGACTTCAATGATCTGCCATCTTTCTGACTTGTTCGTTGAGTTCCCCTCCCTCGTCATTTCCAGCTATCTGAAATACATCATTAATCTTCTTGCAGTCACTTTAAATTGCCAATGAGAGCTGATATAATTATAGTTTAAATATCATCATACAGTCGTCATCAAGTTTCAACTAGTTTCAATATAAAGCCGGGGGTTTAAAGTAACCCAGCCTGTCATTATTACTAATTGCATGTCGATTGTGAAATAAACATCGAAAAAGGTCTGACATTAGTATTATATGTGGAAAGAGAAATTTGACAAAATCAAGTGTTAAATATTCCATACAAGGAAAGTATAAACTTTGTAGACTTTCTGTGAAGGAAAGTTGACAAGGAAAGTTGATAAACCCGCAAAATTATAGAAATATCATTAACTATGTGGACTCTTTGGGAGGAAAACCCAGTTGACAAACCCAAACACCAACAAAAAAAGTAATGTCGACGTAGATTCTTTGAGGGGGAAACCCAGTTGACAAAACCCAAATACCAAACACTATCATTAACTATGTAGACTCTCTGAGAGTGTAGTCCAATTGACAAACCCAAATATAATGCACTATATCACTTTATATATGAACTCTTAGTTGACAAATCAAAACACCAAAAAATATTAATGTTGACGTGAACTCTTTGGGGGGGAAACCCAGGGACAAACCCAAATACCCCAAAAATATCATTTGATATATGAACTCCCTGAAATGAAATTAAATGAATGGAGTTTTACGTCCTACTTTTCTGCACCATGTGGGCTAATGAAGACGGGTATGAACTCTCTGAGAGGGAAGCCTAATTTATCGGGCGATAAAACAAATAGTTACACAACTATATCTAAAACTGCTGAAAAGTAATTTCCACCCAGGCCTAACCACTTTAACTCACAGCACTAAAATATCAATTTCCTAAAAAGAATAAATGAGGTGTTTATGAACAGTGGGTCGCATGAAAGGTCGTCCCCGGGGGAAGGGAAAAGCCATGAAGGTGGCCAGTAATCGACATTTTGATTTAATATTCTATCTGATGCTCCCAGAGGCAATTATCTAATTTGTATAACTTATAAAAAAATAACGACACGCCAAAATCATACAAAAAAATGATGGATACTCGTGTTGTCTTTTTATGATTGGAAAAGAGTATTAAAGGCAAAGAGGCTTTCATAGATTATCCGTTTTCAATCAACCTGGCTATGATGAAATTTGTCCACACTTTTGCTGTAGCATGCACTGCCTCGCCAGCGCAACCGACAACCTCAACAGCTAGTGGAGCACACATTAGTTTGCTAGTCCCGCGTAACTCGAAGTTTCCTTTTCAAATCCTTTCAGTTGTACTTATTTGTGTCCGGTATATATTTTTTCAACCCAGATACCCTTGTCAGTGATGGTCAGATCAGGTCGGTGGGGATACCATGGAAAAAGTCGTTCTAGGACAATAAATTGAGGTCTCGTGTGCTACAGGCCGTGCACGTTACAGTCCCCTCGACATTTGGTACATGAAAAAGAGTTAGCTAATGCCCATAAGGCGCAGAAATGCCGGGCGCAAAACAATTTTCATTTTAATTTTCAGGATAAACGAGAAGATTTCGCATAAAAATATCTTTGTGGACAATATATTATATTATATAGTTGATCTACAGACAATCTTTAAATATAAAGTCTGTTTCCATCGTAAATATGTGCTAAATGATTTGTTATTTCTAATTCGTGTAGGCCTTCATAAAAGTTATTCATCAACTTGCAACCCCTCATTAAGTTGTTAATCTACGTTTGAAAATCTATTAATTCTTAGGAAAATAAACATAAATATTAATATAACAGACACGGACCATGTCAGATGATATAACTGTTTGTCAAGATGTCATAGGTTTAGCCGCATCATGTCAAGGCGAGAATGTAATTGCACCAGTTTGGACAGACAATGAACATCGAACACGTATGTCCACAAGATGTAGACTATAAAACGTGGTTTGGCCAGAGTAATTAATTTCGAAGCTGTTTGCTCAGAGGTAAGAGCAGGTATATTTTGGGTGAGGCGGAATTGTCAATTTTCCAAGGCCGAAATGCAAAATCAAAGGAGGCAAAGGTTATTTGTGTGGATTTAATATACATAATTTGGAAAAATAGACACTTTTCTTCAAAGGCCAAGTCATACATTGGCTCATTTTTGTTTTCTTTTCAGAATAAGATGAGAATCCTGATTGTAGTAATCAGTTGTTTAGCAGCTGTAAGTCACGCTCAGATTGGAAGAACGTTAGGCAGGCGAGTTGGTGTTCGGCGCATGTTAACACCATTTGGTGCACTTCCGGTTCCGGTGGTGAAAGAGTATGTTGGTGTTCCGGTTGCCAACAGACTGCTTTCCAGACCATCTCCTATCCAATACGCCTCAAATGGTATCGGGTACAATAGAGCCATGTTGGCAGATCAGTATGATCCTCAAGGATCCTTTGAAGGGGGATATCCTGGGCAGTTCAATGGTGGAATTCAACAGTTCCCTGGGCAATTAAATGGCAGATTTGGGAATGGTGGATACTACAATGGCTATGATCCAACGGAAATGGGTAAGTGTGTCGCGAATTCTAGTTGCTTGAAACATTCTTAATCTGATTAAAGATCAGCTAAAGCCTTCGATGAAAGTCTTGGAATGGCATTTACCAATTGTAAGTTGATGTAGATGGAATAATAATCATTAGTCAAAGTTTTACTCAACGTTTCGACATGTTTCTCCCAAATTCTCCCAATTCTCGACAAATAAAGAAACTAAGTGGTTTATTATTTAAAGAGATTGGAAAAAGGTTTTGTGAACTTTTTATGTGTATCAGGGACACTGATGGCAACGATTTGCACCATTTCAGTCAGACGTCTGTGTTTTTTTTTTTGGTTGCAATTCCACTTAAACTAAGGGTTTTTATGACTTTACTATCTCAAGAATTGCTAGTGATATATAAGGACCTTTGTGATAGAGCAGTCATGAAATGTATACTTTATGCAAATGTACCTGTTTTTGTATTTTCAGCTGTGGATACCCCTGACTATATTGAGAGAAGACGACAACGCGCAGGCCAGAGTCATCTATACTAACAGAAGTGTCTTAAAGGAATTGAAAAGAAGTCTTTAAACTATTTATGCGTTTCTTGCACACTGATAGCATTGATTTGCACTATTCCAATTTTCAATGAGACATCTGTGATCTTGTAATTCCACCAGAGCTATGTTTATAACACCTTTAGAAATTATGTAATAATATTTAGATTTGTGTGAATTATAGATTATTTTTGTTGATAAATAGATTTATATTTTAAATAAAATAACAAGTTTAGTTTTTACTTTTGACTACCGAAAGAAATTATTTGGTGTCCAAGACACTATGTCAAGAACAGAGATTAAGAGAAAGTACAGTAGTAATGATATTTCGATTCTAAAAAGGTAAACTGTTTCAGCCCAAACTTTTGCAAACAGCTGCCTGAAAGTATATTTATTGGATGAGCCACAGCTACTTGCATCTCCGTTTTCTTGATACCATCATTATGACTTACATTATATATTTTTTGTCATAATGCTCCAGAATGGGGTGAATACAAGGCAAGGCCCTGTTGCAGTGGCCATTATATTTTGGAATCATGATAGACGTACCGTTCTTGCTTTCCTGTGGTTTATCCGAAACACCTGCCTCTATTCATGCCTCTTATAGATATTTTGACAGTTGTCGGCTGGAGTAGGGTCAGAAATACTTGGCATTGTTTTATGGCGATTTTCCATATCTCCGAAAGTGTGGACGTTTTAAAAGAATTATCTACCTCAAATCTACCAAACTTCGCTATATCAGAACAGATAGATATTTTTGTAGTTTAGTAATACCACCATTGTCCCCCTACACCATTTATGCCACGTTTGTAGTTCCGTCGTGTTATTTTTTTAAACGAAACTAATCTCTCTCCAAGTATCAAGGGTCACAGGGTCACGTGATACGAACACAACGAAATAGCACTGAGGCCCTACGGTGGCTCGTTTACGACATCATATATTTTTTAAATTATGAATATAAAAACTGGAATATAATTATAAAGAATAACTTTGAATTAAAAACTTGTATTTTCACCCAGGTGATAATTCAATAATATTTCATCAAAAACAAGAATTTTCACCCATCATTTATATTTTTTCATTTTCAATTAGAACACTGGAATATAATTAAGAAACACAATTTTGAATTCAAAATAAAAAAAAATAAATGATGTCATTTTTTTGACCAATGGTACCATAGTCTCAGAAACAGGAATTGTTTTCGCTAAGCTAATCAGTACTAGTGTTCACAGCTCATATCAAATTTGAGCCTTCATATCCACGTGTGACCAGAATTATCCGCGTTTGTTAAAATGAAGACTTGTCATGAGATTTTACATTTCTAGTACTTCTAAGAACGATTTACATATACATGTACATGTATTGATATAAGAACCATGTCAACTCTCCAAATAGTGAATCTGCCACTTTAATAAACGTCGAAACAGTATAAAGCTAGACTGGAAGGTGACAAATTACCCGAATTTCTAACCTTATGAGATTTCTGAACACCACCCACCCCCCTTTGGCTCCGCCGCTCGGCAGCTGAGAGAATCTGATCTCTTGCTGAATTTAGTCGACCTAGTGTCCTGATACAAATCGAAAGTGGCGCCAATATTGTCGTCTGAACCTCGTGTTCCAATAACTGAATTCGTCTAATTTGAATTGCTTGTGGTCGGTGAATGCCCCCCCCCCCCCTCCTCCTCCTCTCCCTCCAAGTCTGGCTACGGGCCTGTTTTGAAAGATGGTAAGACGGACCTGAAGCTGATGGAAGACTCTTCACAAGCATCTCGATAAATCATTTTTTGTTTGTTTCAAAATGTTATAACAAGAGTGACTCGGTGTTTAAAAGGTTAAGATTCACTCCCCAACGTCGATAATACATCACATGACAAAATATAAATCCGTTTATTAAAAATAGGAACATAAATTATATACACGATGGGGGTAAATACAATAAATTTAAAGTGAACAGGGAGGGGTTATTAATGGCGGTAGTTTGTTGATAGATGGGTGACGATGATAAATAGATCTTTAAATTTTAACATAAAATATTTAAATAGTCGGGGCTTTTAACTTTAATCAACCCTTAAACATGTGGAAGGCTTCAATATTTTAACGACTCATCAACTTCGAAATGAGGGCTTTTACAACAAATTTAACTTTAAAATTAAAAAATTAGTTTTTTTTCTTTTAATTTTAGATCTTCAAATTAAGGTTCTAATCTATTTCAGTAAGCTAAAATGTCTATATTATATAACTTTAGAGACTTAATAATTTTAACCAGAAATTTTCGAAATCATCCTTTTTTTCAAATTTTAACTACCAAAAACTTCAAATTGTGCGGGTTATCCTTTAATTCAGAAAGAGCAAAATGGAATTCCGAGGGATATCTTTAAGGTTGGAATCCAACGTTAGATTAAGCAATAATTCAAATTGAAATTGTACTTCACAACATCCAATGCTCTGTGCGATTGAGCTTATTGACTCAACATTCCCTCAATAGATCTATGCTTTTCATATTTTTCTATCTCACAACATTCCGTCCGATTTCACAATATAACGTTGTAAACATGAGGCCTAATTTGTAAAAAAAAAATTCTCTTTGAGTCCAGATCACATCGCCATCACTTGAGTTGATCGTTTTCTACCCGTTGAAAAATCCATGCGTGGAGATTGTGGTGTGAAACTAGTTTCAGGTTGATTTCTCCGCACCACAGATTGGCTGATAGTGGTCCGCTGGTTCTGCAGTGAGGGTGATGGTAGTGTTACTGGCGCCAGGGTGATCCCTAGCGACGTAGTTTGTTGGGATAAAGAGGCTATTTTTGTTGTGAAAGTACCACTATTTTGTTGCGTTGATGGGGTCATTCCAAGAAGAGAGTTTAACGTGGCGGTTTTTGAAAATGTAGTTATTGGTTTTGATGAGTTGAGCTTGTTTGATGCAGACAAAACTTGATCAAGGTCACCGGGTGTAACGACTGGCAACGTTTTGGAGCCCGATAGGTCACCGCGTGTAACGATTGGCAACGTTTTTGAGTCCGATAGGTCACCGCGTGTAACAATTGGCAACGTTTTGGAGTCCGATAGGTCACCGCGTGTAACAACTGGCAACGTTTTGAAACCCGATGGGGCCTGTTTAACAGCATTGTTCTCTGGTAGTAGCGAAGCCAGCATCAACGATTGAAGAAGAGAGTTGAATTGCTTCTCCTGCTGCTTACCCTTTTGGACTTTTTGTTGATCTTGTTTTGGTGTCAAAGGCTGCTTTGGATGATTGAAAATAGCGGATGCTAAAGCCATTTCGCTCCAGAAATCGTTCCTTGGCACGAAAGCAGAAGGAGTATACACTGGCTGAATAATGGATCCCCTGGGCTGCGTACCATACACTAGTTGGCCTGCATCTTGGGCTGGACTAAATGTGGCCACTGGTAATGGTGAAGGGGTGGTCAATGCGGTCATATCAAATTGATTTGAAATGAGTATTTGTTGATTCGCTCGGGCATTTGATGTTTTCTTGTCAGCTAAGATAGTTTGTTGATCCGGGAGATTAGACACTTGACCTCCGGTTGCTAAAGATTTTATAACATCCGAAACAGTGAAGGTTGGTTGAGGACTTGTCGGCTGCTTCCCAATTTCAGCTTGAAGTGGTGCAGACATGGCTGGTGGTAGTGCGGATTCCTTCTGGACCACCTGAGAAGCTCCTCCTGCAGCAGCTGTTAGTGTTGCTTGGTTGGTTTGTGTAGCTGTTGTAGACGCTGATGAGTCTACTGGAACGTCAAGACCACTCAATGGATTATAAACCACTTGTGGTTGAAGGGAACTAAGGATGCTGTCCAAAATGGCTTGACGATACTGAAGTGATTGATCCGAAAGTTGTGCATTTTGCTGAATGGTGCCTGAAGAACCAGGTGAAGATGCAGATGCAGCTGGTGTGCCCAAAGAAGCCACGGGAAGCTGAGAGGAAGAAGCGATGTTGGCGTTCCCTGATGCTGTATTCTGGCTTTGAGCTGGTGAGGTAATTTGGGTACCAGCAACCTGGGGTTGCTGAACTGTGTCTACAATCTGTACGGTCTGTGGTGGTTGATATTGTTGCATTGTATTCGCAACTATAGCACCAGTTTGTTGTAAATTTGACACGGCAGCATTAGACGGTTGGGAATTTTGTTGAAGTACTTGTTGTACGCCAGACAGCGACGGGTCATTGATCATATATGGCTGATTTGGATCCGGTTGTAGATTTGATAACCAAGGAGTCTGTTGGGACTGTATTTGATTCCAAGGGCCGAGCTGACCGCCAACGACACCAGTCTGTTGCTCCTGTGGATTCAATGTCTGTTGTTGGGCTGTAAAACCGCCTTGAGCTGATGCGCTTTGCTGGGATGATGCAGGAATTTCCGACTGTCCTGTTTGAACTTGTCGTTGTTCGACAAGTGGCTGTCCGTTTGGCAGTGGCACTCCATTTACAAATGTTGGAGGCATGGCTTGATTGGAATAAACGATTTCTTGAGCGTAGGGATCTCGGACAAGTGCAAGTTCCTGCAAGGGATCGATATAAGGCATTCCACCTTGCATGGAACCAAATTGCCACAGATGATCAAACGGAGCATTTGGATTAATCATTTGTTGTTGAAAGGTCATTGGATTTGGACCAAATGAGGTTTGTTGCCCTGGTGAGGTGCCCATAAGCTGCTCTGTAGAACCTGCTGCATTTGCCATTTCACCAGCCGCTTGCTGACTGGGATCCGTAACTGATCCGATTGTTTGTGGTTGAGCTTCTGCAGCAATGTTGAGATCAATTGGCTGTTGTTGTGAAGGATCAATGACTATGTTAGATCCGGTAATAGCTGATCCCATCTGTTGTTCTGGATTCAGTGTATTGGTCATATCCACAAGTGTCTGTGGCTGTGTCATTTGACCAAACTGTTCCGCCATCAGCATATTGGACGCACCTGCCATGGTTTGGGGTTGTTGAACGGCTTCGGGCATCACATTTAACCCTTGAGGTTGATCCAAATTTACGGAGACTGGGTCATTGACAATATTTGATCCAAGTTGCTGTTGCATCGCAATATCAGCCGCCATCTGCTGGGATGGATCAAGGACCATATTGGGTCCGATTTCAGAAGATCGGAATTGACCTTGCTGTCCGACTGCGTTATTTACATCAACAATTTGTTGCTGAAGCGGCTGTGTAATAATTTCTGGAACAGGATTTTGAACCATGTTGTTCATGTCTAAGTTTTGAGTCTGCTGCCCTACTAAATTTGAAATATCTTGCTGCATTGGGGCTGTATTTGACATGACTTGCTGTTGTAGACCAGCAATGTTTAAGTTTTGTAGCTGTTGTACAAACCTTTCGGCTAAATTTGGTTGTTGTTGTTGTTGTGGAAATGGCGATACAGCGTTGGCTGCCTGATTTTGGATTGCATTGTTCATTTCCAAAAACTGTTGTTGTTGCAATTGTTCTGCTGACCCCAGACCAGCATTGTTTAAGTTTTGTGGCTGTTGTACAAACCTTTCAGCTAAATTCGGTTGTTGTTGTTGTTGTTGTTGTGGAAATGGCGATACAGCGTTGGCTGCCTGATTTTGGATTGCATTGTTCATTTCCAAAAACTGTTGTTGTTGCAATTGTTCTGCTGACCCCATCGTTTGCTGCTGAACATCAATGGTATTACCAGCATTAATCAGTTGCTGTTGAGTGGGATTTATGGCAATAGATCCCAATTCACCTATTCTAAGCTGGGCCTGGGCCTGTTGTGCAGCTTTATTATTCGCTTCAATGATCTGTTCTTGTAGTTTAGCTTCGGCTATTCCATTTTGGATTGCCGTGAGCTGCTGTTGGGTGGATGCTATGGCGTTATCTAAATTCAGCAGCCGTGGATCGGATACTGTTATCTGTGGTGCCGGCCCAAATTGATTCAACATAGTCTGCTGCTGCATTTGATCTCCAACTGCATTGGTTGTTGCTATTGTATTCGATCCTTGAAGGGTTTGTAATGGATCTGCTGCTACATTAAGTTGTTGTTGGGTGACTTCAATAACGGGCGATCCGGTGTTTGCCGTAATCGTAGCTCCCAGCTGTTGTTGCGGTGTCATTACGTTAATTGCCTGGAGCGTTTGCGCTTGATCCGTTATTGCATTTGGAAGTTGTTGTCCAATCTCTACTACGGATGGTCCGGCGTTTGTCGTAATCGTAGCTCCAAGCTGTTTTTGCGGGGTCATTATATTTATTGCCTGGAGGGTTTGTGCTGGACCCATTGCTATATTTGGAAGTTGTTGTGCGACTTCTATGACGGGTGGGGCCGCATTTGCTATAAGTTGCTGTTGCTGAGCCATTATGTTTGTTGCTCGAAGAGTGTTTGCTTGACCCATTGCTGCGCTTGAAAGTCGTTGTCCGATCTCGACAGCGGATGGTCCAAAGTTTGTTGTAACCATAGCTCCAAGTTGTTGTTGTGGTACCATAGCATTTATTGCTCGAAGCGTCTGTGTCTGACCCATTGCTACCTTTGGAACTTGTTGTGCGATATCAACTACGGATGGTCCGACGTTTGTAACCGTAGTTCCGAGTTGTTGTTGTGGAGTCATTATATTTGTTGCTCCTAAAGGTTGAGTTTGACGAAAAGCTACATTTGGAATTTGTTGTGCGCCTTCTATTACGGATGGCCCCGCGTTTGCTCCAAGTTGTTGTTGTTGAGCCATTATGTTTGTTGCTCGGAGAGTTTGAGCTTGGCCCATTCCTACATTTGGAAATTGTCCGACGTTTGTTGTAACCATAGCTCCAAGTTGTTGTTGTGGTGCCATAGCATTTATTGCTTGTGGCGTTTGTGCTTGTCCCATTGCTACATTTGGAAGTTGTTCATTTGCTATCATTGTTGCTCCAAGCTGTTGTTGTGGAAGCATTCCATTTGTTGCTTGAAGCATTGCTACATTTGGAACTTGTTGTGCGAACTCGACGGATGGTCCGACGTTTGTTGTCAAAGTTGCTCCAAATTGCTGTTGGGGTACATTCATTACATTTGTTGCTTGTACTGGACCTATGATTCCATTTTGAGCCAGTTGCTCTTGTTGGGTGTTCAAAACGTTTGACATTGCTACTTGTTGTTGGGGAACGGCATTCGGCGACGCTGCTAATATCTGACCAGTGTTGCTCATAGCGCCACCTGTTGTAGCTGGAGATTGTATGAATGGACCAACGATAGCATTGGACCCCCCATTGTTGATATTTGCAGAAGGATAATCAAGTTGGTTCAAGAGGACACCTGCGCCGATCCCAGACATTACGTTCGGGTTGTTGTCAATAGTCATCATTGGTTGTTGCATTCCCCCAAGTTTCCCACCGAATGGTTCTAGACGTTCTGGGTTGATCGACACTGCAACAGAATGAAAATACGAATTTATAAATCAATGTACACTTAAGTTACATTATACTGTCAGGTAACCTAATTTCGTGCTAACCTATTTTTCGTGCATTTCCGGAAAGGATTAATAATCTACATGTGCGACGTCGCGTGACCTCCGCATTTGCTTATTTTGTTAATCATGGGTTATCTATACAATGAATTCAGTACTTTCAAGCAAATGTATACTTTGACAAATACAAAATGGCGGATTTCACTTATTACCGAACGCCACCATTTTTTATTGGCCGAATTTCCTTACAATCCCTAGCTGTAATCGGAATTCCAAGTGTCATTTGCTAGAATGTAGTGTAGTCCAACGAATAAAGTCACGTGATCAACTGGCGAATTCCGTGTCAGCAGAAAAATTCTATGGAACACAAAGCGGGCCATATTCTTATGTTGTTTTAGTGACTTTTAGCAATAAATCGCGCAACGTATCTTATTTTGTCAGTCACTATTTTTTTTTTTAAATCATGGTTCTTTGAAGGAATTGTCACTAGTTATAATTAATTGATATTAAAGATAAATACTAAGAGAAGTTAATTATACCACCCGGTATTCATACAACGTGTTTTTCTCGACTTATTTATAGATCAAACATTGTACACGAAAATAGGTGACGCATTTTGCCGCCGTTGTCGAGTTGGTTACTCATGAAATATGGGTCAAAGTGGGGGATTCATAAAGAAATCGAAACAAACCAATTTTAATTTTTCGTAGAATATCTGAGGAAAGATCTAAGATATAAAAAGAAATCCGGTTTTTTAAACTTTGACGAAATTCGATGTTGAATCCTTGTATGCACGAAAATAGGTGACGCATTTTGCCGCCGTTGTCGAGTTGGTTACTCATGAAATATGGGTCAAAGTGGGGGATTCATAAAGAAATCGAAACAAACCAATTTTAATTTTTTGTAGAATATCTGAGGAAAGATCTAAGATATAAAAAGAAATCCGGTTTTTTTAACTTTGACGAAATTCGATGTTGAATCCTTGTATGCACGAAAATAGGTTACACCACTGTATATTTGTATCGGGGAAGATGTGATCGTGATCTTAAGTTTATAAAATGCAAAACCATGAAAGACTTCTTTTATAACGAAGGTTGATTTTGTAGAGAAAAAAAATTGGCTCCGTAGACAGATCAACTAATATTGAAGGAAGTAGTTTTCAAGAAGCAACCTTCTATAGTTTTCTAATGACTTTATTCTTCATTCTTGCAAGACCCGGTTCTTTATATCAAGGACATGTTATAGGATAGCGAAACCCAAAATAGAGCAATACGACAGACTCTTTGTTTGTTTCTGATTGTTGCACACGCAAAGCTTCAAGAGTCTTAAACATAAAAGATCCACAAGTCTTCAACACGATTGTTGTCTAGCACAAAATCTTCAAAGGTCTTTAGCAAAGCCCGTCCACCTACCTGTGTTTGGTGTTTGTGGAAATCGTCGTTGAACATTACCATTACCTCTTCCAATACCCATTCTGTTCCTAATCAGATTTCTTCTTCTGTTAAGAATAGCTTGTATGTTGGCTAGTTGGTTTCTTCTAATCGTTTCCAGTACGCCACCACGGTTGAAAATAAAGGGAGATCTTGCCATGGATGACCGCATCGCGCCCATTCGATATCTCATCAAGGCCATCATGAGAGGGTTAAATAGGAACCCATGAGTGGTACTGGCCAGTAAACTTACCACTAAAATTTGTAGTCGCATTATTTCTAGCCTGAAACGAAAAAGTCAACCTAATTTTTACTTTTCCCATGTTCAGAGCACAACATAAACCAAGTGACGTGACTCATTTATAATTCAGATATCAAAAAGCAAGAGAGTTCGATCCTTGCATAGGCCAAGATAGTAACTTCGGATTTTTAAAACCTGATTCCCGGAGACGACGATATAAAAAAAAAGTTTCTAGTCGTGGAAATGAGACAAGGCTCCAAGAACACGTTCAACAAATTATAGGACGGTAAGATATCGTAAATCAGGTTGATACCACTTTCCCGGAAAAAAATATCCTATACTAAGTTCACATGAGTAGGAAGTGAATGTCCTTTTTTGATTTTAGCTCAAGCTATCGTCAAGGGCTTCGAGTGCAACATCGGCAAGATTATAGTTTGCTTTGAAATGTGGATTCAGTTTTCCGATAAAGTTCTTCACTGATAAAAGCATGCCTGTTGCTCAGGGGGCCCGCAACTAACAGCAAGGGGTGGGTGCATTAAAAAATATTTCGCCTTTTTCTTGAAGTTAATGAAAACATTTTTTTCTCTGAAAATTTTTCTCTACATCTCAGCTCATAATAATGTGGGGATGTATGCAGTAGTTGACCAGTCGAGTCAAACAGCTGAGCCACTCACAAACAAATTTTCAGCCACAATCCCCTAAGACCTTTTTGGCTAGCTACGGGGCTGGAGTAACCTATCTTAGTAAGAACGGGCGACGAAAAATCCCTAATAATAATGTATGGCGTATGAACAAAGTAAGCGATCTTATTGGATAGGGTCTGAGCTGATATCAACTACTTGAAACCTAAATTCATTAATAAGCCTAATTTTACACACTAAACAGTTACACACGGTTACATACCTTATTGAGGCAATCCAAATTTCACTATCCCTTCAACACTTTTTAAATCTGTAGGACGGAAACAATAGACGCCTTATATAGCCTACTTAATTTGATGAGCGTTACGTGGGTTGTAATCCTTTTGACAGAATATGAATAATGAACCGACGTAACGCGATTGACCCCAGTCGGACTTAATAAAACGTCGACGTACATGTACATATATCAATATACAAGATCGATCATCGATTTACTGAACTGATCAGACAATCTCGGTCATCCAGTGCAGTAATGTCTACTGTAATTTGCTTATAGTTGACAGCAGTCTGGAAAGTGGAATCTAATTGACAAAAGAACAATATGAAATTGGTTGAAAACAAGATGTTATTTTGTGTTAATTGTATATGTAAGCTAGAAATAGATTTCCAGATTTAATTTAAGAAAAAAATTGACATTGAGCTCGGATGATAATAGGACAAATGAAAATTCTGATATTTTCTGACAGTTGCTACATTCGTGATTTTTGTCGTTTCATAACAATAGTGAATTCCAAGTAGATTGCTGTTTCATAAGAATTATAGACTTGTATGCCATCTTCTTCCATTTCAACCCCTTTCAAACGCGGATCCTAAGTAGCCCAGAACTACAATGCCTTAAACTATGTAACGTCATCGAAAGTTTGGGTTTAGTGACGTCATGCATTAAAGAATCAACATAGTCAGGCAAACCCTATCTGAGGACTTCTAGGATGATTTTGCGGCTAACTCAGATATGTTGTTGAAGAACCCAAAGGGATTGTAAAAAGGATTTATAAATTTCCTTCATTATTAGTGAATTTGAAGAAATAATGCAATTTCCGTCAATTTTTAGTACTTCTGAAGACTATTTACATATATTTTATACAAAAAAAAAATGGCGCATCTGTTCTTTTAAAAAGTCAGAAGTAAGTTGAAATTTAGACATCCGGTTCACATTGGAAAAACTGCTTGTACAGTTAACAGCGAATATTGTTATTCGTAATATTGTATAAGTTTTAGCTTTTCTTAGAGTGGGCTCCTTTAAGATGTGTGAGTTTACAACCAATTAAGATCGCAAACATGTGACATACGATACGCAATTGACTGTCATATGTATATTTATCACAGTATTTAGCCCTGGCAGTTTATGTAATAGCCTAATTGTCTGTACCCTATTTTGTTGTCAGAAATTTCGTAACTCATACGAAGAAAGTTGATTCTTATATTTTCAGCTATTTCAGTTAAAGAAATGATACTACGACAGATTGTAATTCAGAGACAACGTATCTAATTATCTTAACCTTTAGAATGCCCCATGGTTTATCATAAATCTTTACTTTGTGACCAAGGCCAGTACTTTTACGAGACTATGTTCTCCATCTAACACGATTTTCGTTTGATAGGAAGAATCGAAGCCATGCTCACCATAAATTAAGCAACAGAAAATTTAAAATCTTGAAAGTTATAATTATATTAAAACTGCCAACAAAATTATCTCCCTTGAACTGAGCAATGCTGGTTATTGTCGCCTCTCAACGCATCCAATGCAACCGTTAGAAGTCCGTAAGGATGCGGGAACACGAACAGTCTTGGTCGCCAATAATAGTCGCTGACGCAAATCTTGAGTAAACTCTCACGTGTGCCTGCGCCTCCATGACAAGGTTTATAAGCTTGGCATTTGTCGCCGATTGTTTTATCGTCTCCTAAACGGACGTCATCATCCAATTAGATTAAATGTCCTTTCAGTTGCATGCTCCGTGTACGTGATTATCGACATAGTGGAAAACGACCGACTGAGATTTTTGTCTCCTCTTGTCCCGCAGTCGGTCGATGAAACTCTTGACATGACTCTAGTCGGCGACAAAAATCGCCATCCACGATTGTTCGTGTGCTCGCACCTTGAGATGGTCCCAAGATGTTGCTATGACCATTGTTCAAGTAAATGTGTATTATATCATACATGTATTAAATATTACGCTATATTGTACGTTATTATAAAAGGTTATAGGTAAATCCTTGGTACGTAAAGGGTGTACAAAGAGGAATTTGGTGCTCTATCTATGAAGTGCCAGGGGAACGTTGAGCAGGACCACGTATCTTTTGCAATTCTAGAGTCGTTGTTGTATTTGACAAGTGTTTTCTTTGTTTTTAGCCACTTATATCCAAACTTGATTAACAGATCAGATATGATTCATATACATTCGGAAGTCACTTTCGCAAGTTATTAATCATATCTAAGAGCTTTTCCAATAGGTGAATTCATAAAACGCCTAGTTTTAATAGGAATGATGCAAATCGATGCTACATTTACAATCCCTTAAACTTTATTGTCTATTTGATTTTATAAAATTTCGAAACACTTTAAATTCTATAACCCGTGTATTAACTATTGTTTGTCTCGTTTGTAGCCAGTTACCGGCACTCACTCACTGCCACCGCCACTGTCTAACTGACAATAATATCACATCTCATTTGGCTGATACGTGTTCCGGATGCACGACCCTTTTGTGTTCAGCTGGTTTTTGTAAATGGGGTTGATAGTTTGCCTCTAATGTCACCAATTTTCGTACGTCATTATTAACCTTGCCCAAAACTAGGCATAAATCTAAAACATAACCAAACCTGTCAGGCAAGGTAATATACGCCCACTGGCAGCTTTGCTTTTGAATAACAATATTTGGCAGAACAGTAACATCACCAGTATGAAATATTCAACCTTCAGTCATACACTTCTTTTGAATTTTTTGAGGTGATACTGAACAATATTACCGACTTTTGTCAAAATCTGGCAAGAATCGAGCCTCTATGTGCTGACAATATAAAAATTGAATGCATAGGCCTAAGTTTCTGGGCTCAGATGATATGTTAGTGGCCAGTCAGTAAAATTGTGTCATGAAAGGGACGTAACTCTTTGAGATTATCTGTTCGATCGATGGATTTAGAAACAAGTTATAGCACGTGGTTAAATAGCAAAATTGAATAAAACACAAAAATATGAATCCATTGTTGAGCAGGAACGGCACCGACCTCCCGAGACTGGATTCAGTGGGGAGGGGGCAACTGTTAAGGCTGAATTCAAAATGTAGCTTCATTGTGGAGGCGTCATAGCATTCTCTCACGAAAATTTTCGAAACTTGAATTTTTGAAGAGTTGGTGCCTTTTGACTCATATTTTGGGGCAAAACATATAAAAATCAAATTTTTAAAAATTAGTGGGAAATACAGTTAGGGATACAAACTATTTTCCCATGGGGTGGGGCAAATGCCACCTTGTATCTCCACTGGCGACGCCCACTGTCTAGAAGGTTAATTAATAAGGGCAAGATGGGGTCAGAAGTTTCGGACTAACCCCCTCGCCTCAAAACACACCTGCGTGAAGACTATAAGATCTAGTGTTATAAAAAATTTCTGATTTGAAAAAATCATTATTTCATTTTCACTTTTAAATCTTTGAAAATATTTTCCTTGCCTACGTTTCCTAGGTTCGAAATCATTTTTTTTAAGTAAACATCTACTTTCGTTTTTATTTTCCATGCGACAGGAAATTGTTTTCAGACCTTGGCGGGTTCTTCCCATAATTCCTCAAACGCATGCGCAACTTCCGTTTCTTGTGTGTGAAGTCGCCATAATGTCGAAACAGGTACTCTACTTTCTAACAAAAGTTTGCTCATTTATGCCTAATTTTATTCAAATCTAATAATATTTTTTATCATTTCAGGTATATAACGATGAAGTGAACCCCCGTACTTTGTAAGTATATCTTTATTTTATGTACTTTTTGAACTGGGAAAGTTTCGTTGTTGACCGGATTGTTACGCTTCCGCTTTACGAGTCCCCATGTTTTCTTGTGAATTTCGTGTTTTTATGATCATTGTCTTGAGGTAAATTCACCATATTTATTGCT